GGGGGTACTTGAGAAAACGGACGGAAAAGGGGTGATGTGTGAGAAAGATGAAAGGCAGAAGAAGAGAGGTCGGCCTCAAGTTTGAGCTAGATGGAAGAAGGAGTATTGCACCAGGCAATATCAAGGAAAGGGTGATGGCTTACCTGGGAGGGTCTTGGGAGTGAAAAGGAAGTGAGAATTGGTTGTGGATGAAGAGGAGGGAGGGAGTGCGAAGGGAATGATGGTTTATATAATTAAGCGGTCTGCTGAACCTGTTGTTTCTCTTTCCCAGCAGCAGAAGCTATAGCACTGGACCAGCACAGTAGAGTCGAAGGGTTCAGCAGGCTCAGCAGCTGAATAGTAGAATCACCCTTGTGTTGAGAAGATGTGGTTCACGGCGGTTGAGCATCGGACAAAGGAAATTGACAAGAACAAGGGGAATCAATAAGGGCACGATTTGGCTTTGTATATAGCCAACGTATCTGCTGAGCCAGCCGTTTCTTCCCTAGTAGTACAAGGGTCAGCATTGGATTACTTCCGAGGACGGTTGAGGCTCAGCAGCCACCAGCAGTCGAGTTGCAAAATCGTGATACTTTGTCCAGAGTAGACGTAAACAGCGTGGACAAAAGCAATTCATGAGAGTAGAACAAAAAATGGACAACGGCAATCAATTGAGCTACAGAAAAAATGGAAAAAGATCATTGATACAAGCACTGCAGTTGCACAACACGTCCTAAGTTGTCTGATTGGTTTTTGAACTTTTTGCATCCACACAGGCTGTAATGCTCAACCAATGAATGCGCAATAGAATCAACTAGCTGAGGGTCTGGCAGCAACTCTTTAGGCTGCGCTCTAATTCAATTACTAGAAGACCAAATTTTAAAAACACTTAGCATGTAACAGGCCATCGAGATAATTGCTTCCACTTAGCTTGTGCCTCGAAGTTAAATTCACACTGCAATAGAATTGCAACAGAAGAACGGGGTGAATGTGGTGGCCGTGAAGAGCCGACTTGATGGGGCCTAAATAACAGAATAAGGTCCAGCAGTAACTTACTGCCAAGCAGGGGAGAAGCCCAGCAGCCGTTGATCGATGTAATTACGATCCTTTGTGTAGAGTAGATGAAAAGGGTAAGAATACAACACTATCTGGACAACACGAAAGGCGATTCATAGACAGCAATCAATTCAAATAAGCCATAATTCAGAAGGGAGTAGCAATGTGTGGTTTCAGTTTTTGTTACTATCATGGCTGTTTTTTTATCCAGATCATCATCTTTCTCTTTGGCCGTTACGGTCATGTTAATCATCTGGTTTCTCGGCATTTTCAAAAGTTGAACCTGGTGTTTCAATTCCTTGTTTTAATTATCGACACCACTCGGCTAGACTGCTTTATGCAGAGTAGTCATTTACTGAGATAGGCTTTGATCCGATTGCTACAATCTAGATACATCTCATGGCAGCAGATCAAGTGCCATCAAAAAGGGAGTTTTGATGACTTTGAGTTATATCATTCAGTTTCAAAGAACTGCGCTTTTCCAGGTCACTAACTGCGCCTGCAGGTAGGATTTCCACTTCCAGCATAGAAGGAGGTACGGTGGTCGAATTTAAGTGGCTCACAACTTGAAGTGGTCTTTTGATGAGTATATCGGCAAATATGTTGCAATGAAAGACCCTCATGAGTTGCCTTTAAGTCTTGGTTGGCCTGGAGGTTTAAACTTCAAGTCCAGCTGGGTATCAAGAGGGCACTTCTCATTTCCCCATTAGAACCCATCAGATCGAAATCAAATCAGACCCAGAATCTTCTGTCAATATACCGCCTGTACCTGACACACATTTCGCCTCTTGCGATATATTGACTCGCGAGATTGCACCCTACATAAGTGAGTTGCAGTCAAGTATATTTATGAGGCTTTTGGAGAGTTGATCTGAATGATTTCGGATCGCTTGTTTTCGCGTCTTTAGAATCAAAGCCGCGCGGACATCCTTGCGCCGCTGCCTGCCGGCGGACGATGTTAAGTTCGTCTTGAACCGAGCTCAACCGATCCACTCATATTTAACTATCAGTCTTGTTTCTGAGGTTAGGGTCAACTCTGTAGAAGAGCACCTCACTCCATATTCATGAAACGCCCATCACAATTGGAAACATATTGGCCGGAGCCCAAGTTTTCCCTGAGGTATGTACTAGGTGTTAATCTGCCAGAAGAAATCATGACACACTTCCCCGATCTACAACCATGCCTCATCAAACTCATTGAGGGATGAATCAAGATCCCAGAGCTTCAGATACCTATTTCAAGATGAAATGCTCACTCAGGTGCGAGGAATTCAAAGGGTTTTCGCTCACGGAGACGAGGGGAGAACTTGGCTTGCAACAAGCACTTCGCAACTTGCACTTCCTTTGCTTTCAACTCAGATTTTCTTTGCGTTTGCCAAGACGCCTCATGCGATGCGCCAACGACTAACACTTCTCATTTTGTACTATGTCAAAGCTGTCAACTCCATGGGCCAACCTGAGCCTTTGGGGCTGAGTCATGCAGTCAATGAAGCTGAAGAAGGTGCATAACTTTCTCTTTTCCGTTTTCTCGCCTTTGACTTTTCCACTTCTCCCGTACAAATCCTCAAAGGCTTGGTGTACAAGGTCTAACTGACCTTTTACCTCAAATCATGCAAAACAGTTCCAGTGGCTACAATGGCAGTTGATCGAAGTGCCATGAGCAGTCATAATCCTTTGAGCCCCAAAATTAGTACACCCGGAACATCTCAAATGCTGGATTCTCAAACCACCCAGGAAGATAAGACTGGGCAAATTGGCACTATCACTTGGCCCGTGAACGAAAGCCCGCCTCATGAAGTACCCGAAGAACGTGAGAATAAGCCACCTGGGTCATTGGAGTCAAGTCGTGCAACAGATCACGCCGAAGAAGGTACAGAAATATCACTTTTCCTTTTTTTCCCCCTTTTCTCTCTCTCTACGTCTCCCAAATAACCGCAATCCTTCGATCGAATTGTTCTGCAATGGCGTTAACACAGGCTATTTTTTAATAAGGGAACTCGCGGACAAAATTAAATTTCATCCAAAAACTGACGCTATCCTTCACAACAGGAAACCCAGTTCCAGCGGCTACGACGGGAGTTCATCGGGGCACCATGAACAGTGATAACCCGCTGAGCCCCAAAAGCAGCGTGCCTGGCGTATCTGATCAATTCTCTCAAAACGCTCAGCAAGAGAATAATAGGCGAGTTGACCCTATCCAATGGCCCGTGACAGAGAAGCCGTCTGAGGTACCCGAAGAACGTAAGTTCTACACATGAAGACACAAAGACTAAGAAAAACGAGTACCTGAAAAAGAAAATGGGCTCATTATATTTTAGTGAGACGTCTCGACGGCTATGCAAAGTGGGAACAACGTAATTTTACTCATCCACCTATAAATATTCCTATCGGTTTTTCAAGGTTGCTGGGGCTGACAAAGAACTGACAAATACTTCGAAGTTGAACACGATATGAACTATGAATTCAAGAAATTAACAAAACAGATCGCGCAATTCAAAGCACAGACTCGTTGGAGGCTTCCGATCTTAACACGGCTCCCACAGACTCTACGTTTGCTAGCATATACCAATGAACTACAACATATTCGCAGACTTATTCCGACTTCCAAGAAAGACCAGCGGGCCAAATTGATGGAATACCTCAAGTGGGTCCAAGCAGTTGAAGTACATCCTTCATATCACAAGATGAAAGTCCAAGAAAACATATACACCAGCCATGAGTACGTTCATTTTTTCCAGATGTAGCTACACATTAATTTGAAAATACAATCATGAATTGGAAACAGGTGAATTGGAGATACTGACACAGAACACCCGTCTAGACACTCGCCATATGCATTTGATGGACTGAGCTCCTGGAAGCCAGTCGGAAAGGCAGAAGGATTATCGCAAGAGCCTGAAGATCCCAAGCTTCTAACAGGGGAAAGCTTACCAAGCGAAGTTGCCTCAATTCTTTCCAGCCCAAACAAGATGAGTAAATTCGACCATGCTGAGTTGGAGGCGACAGTCATGAAGTTCGTTACCCGGCAATGGCTCAATAGGTTAAATCTTATGCTGCATAAAGTAACTTCACTTAAAGATGCTATTGCTATGATTAAGACGGGGAATGGATTTTTAGAAGCCTTGCTGCTCCAGCAGTATGTACTCAGAACGGTCGACTACATGTACAAACGTGGAGTAATAGGTTCAAGACGTCTCGAGGAATTCCTTGCGATGGGGCAAACACTAGAATTTGCCGCAATCAACATATACAAACCTGAGAAAATCATAAACTTTTTATTTTTTGAGAGGTCATATGGAACATCGGGAATTGGCTGTCTTTGCAACTACGCCTGGTCAAATAATTTTGTCCAGTATGTTGATGAAGGTAAGAGAAAAAAGTTTTCCTCCTCACACTCATCTTATTAACCAACTTTTACTTACAAATGGTGATTTTTTTCCCAAAAAAACTTCATTTGAAATCTTGGATAGTTATTAGAATGAGATACCCTAAGCTAAGACAAGCTGAAATAGATTATTCCATTCCCAAATCCAAAGAAATATCAGAAGAAATGAATTTGTGGAGCCTCTTAGGCTTCCAATAAATGATACCAAGGCTAATTCTTGTCATGTAACTTTTCCCTCTTCATGTTATGATCTTGTCGGTTCAATTTCCAGCCGGCAAATCTGGAAACCAAAAGTGATGAGCCAATGCATAATCACAATGTAAATCTTCATCACCGGGCAATGAAATATCCAGTGCTTATCACCTCATGCATACCAGGGATATACCCGCCTACCGAAGACCTTTTGTCGACAAGGAAGGCCATGGTGTTTGCTCTACAAGACCCAGGGAGAGAGCATACATACCCCCTGGCAAAGGCTATGGGGTGTGTGCTCAGTGAAGTTTTCTTAGAAGATGCTCGCCAAGGAGGCATCATCCTTTCTTGCTGCTTGTTGGGGACAGGCTGTTGTTCAGGAGTCAGGAGGAATCCTCCCCGGTACACGGTGTTGTGAGTTGCATGTAGCTTTGTTCCAAAGAGGTCTCCTCCAACAAGTGGTAGATTCCTCCCTCACAAACAGACCAGCCGCTTGCGGGGGAGGAATGTTCTTCAATGAAAAGGTATCATAAACTTGTACATTTGCCAAAGGTGATGCCTCCCCGGCAAGCAGTGAAGTACACCTGCTGGCCAAACAAACCCCAAAAAGCTGGAATATCTGACTGTTGTAGCTATGGCTGTTCTGATCTACATCGTTTGCAACAGATACGTTGGGAGTGAAGTCTTAATCATGGATTTATGCTGTACTTTGTGTTGCCAGATTCCGCCTGGCTTCAATTTCATTATGTGATAGGAACTTCAATCTACAAAATTCTGTGATACAAAGCCACAAGCTGGAAGACATGATTTTCTTAAGCATGAAAGAACCAGTCCTGCGTGTAACCTCCCTGAGACATTTGAGGCAATGAAAGCCTTTATCAATAATATTTCAGAAATCTAGAAAGTGGGAAGTGGCTTCTGATTCATCAGGATGCAAATCGGTTGGGCCGACCCGCTGGGTACCCGCAACCGGGCGGGTCACAGGGCGGGTTTGAGCAGGCTAGGATTGGAAATTGACCCGACCCAGATTTAACCCAACGGGTCGGTGGGGCGGGTATGATCAGGATGGAATGTATTTGGGTCGGCTTGAGATTGACCGACTCACTTGATTGAAAAGAAAGAAAGTAATTGTTTGCTGGGTTGACCCAGACCCGACCCAAGACCCGACCTGACTTGACCCGACCCGAGGGACTGTGTATTTGGGCCGGGTTTGGTCAACATTTTACAATTTTTGCCCCCAGGATTTGGTCACAGTTTTTTTGACCCAAGCCTGGCCCACTTGCATTCTAATTTCTGAACTTCTGAACAATTCAAAAAAATTGTTAGGCCTTGTTTGGCACCGATATAATTGAGTGAGAAAACATCAATTCTTGTGAAATCTGATCAAGCTTTGGAAGACCTGATCAGATGTCACATAAGATGTCAGGCAAAGAAATTCACATACCACTTGGATCATATTGCTGCCAAAAGAGGCCTTAGTTTTTGTAAACAATGATGATCAACATCTCAAAATGGGCTCTAAAGTTAAGTTAAAATTTTGAACCCCCCCCCCCTAGTAGAACAGGGCCACAACTTTGTTTACTCAAAATGATCTGGTGATATGGAGACAGAAATGTGCTGATGTGTAGAGATATGGAAATGAATTTGACAATAGCAGCTCCTTGATTTTTAGCAATCATAATTAACAACTATGTGCATCTTATACAGAGCAAAGAAATTGAGAAAATTCAGATGAGAATCTCATTAAAATTAAAAAATGAATTGAAAGATAAATAGAGTTAAGATACTGCAGAAATTGTAGTTAATGTTTTTTTCATTGGTATACTCCACAAGTTTGTGGCTGGAGAACTGGTAAGACAGAGGTGGAAGTAGTGATCACAAGTTAAAGGATACCTCATAAGATCAAAAATAATTTGTGAGAATAATTCCCCCAGAAAACTGTAAAGGGTTCTGACATCAATCTTTTGGCTCAAAGCTGATGGTCTGAGCTCCTGATCAGGCTGAGAGAGTTGATTTGACTCTCTTCTGTGGCACGATATAACTGCTCAACTGTAAGGTTTTTTATCCTTTCATTTGTGTTCAGAAGTTGTCGAGGTTTAAACTACAAGATGAACATGACTTGATTGTTGCAGGGTGAGGTCCAACAAATCTGTGGTGACTGCATGTATGCGCTGAAGGAGAGAGGGGGCTCGAGAGCAGGCGGGGACTGCGGACAGGGCCTTCGCACGTCACCTTACACGGATTCACCGGCAGCCTTCCCAACACCCACCACATCATCCCTCTTCCTATCTCTCTATCTTTCCCTTTACTAATTGCCCTCTCAAACAAACCGGTCTGATTATCCCAATTTCTCGCCGTAGAGACAAGACAAGACAAGATGGCCGTGGAACCTACGAAACCAGAAATCGCTCAGATCTTTGCCTTGCTGAAGAACCAAAAGGGCAACAAGGTTGGTCTATCGTACTTTGGTTGAACCAGATGACGCACCCCGATCATAATCAGACAGATGGAATGTGACACAGAAAGCTGATACATTCAACCCATTCATTCATTAGATGTGCTTCGATTGCGGTGCTAAAAACCCAACTTGGAGTAGTGTTACTTTCGGAGTGTACATCTGTCTAGACTGTTCGAGTGTTCATCGAAACATGGGAGTTCACATTAGTTTTGTCCGGTGAGTGTCTAGTAACAGAAAAATTTAACTTGCAGATCTCAGTTTATACTAATTTATTTAATTCTTCCTAGATCTACAAACTTAGATCAATGGTCATGGGCGCAGTTACGGACGATGAAAGTGGGAGGAAACGGTTCATTCCAAGACTTCCTGAATAAGCACCCGGGAGCGTTCTCGAGTTCATCCGATACGAAAGCGAAGTACTCCTCAAAATCGGCGGATCTATACAAGGAGGAATTGAAGCGACGATGTCTAGCCGATCAAGCCCAGCACGGCCCCGGGCCCGTAGTTTTCGAAGGCTTGACGCTCGCTTCGTCCGGGGCAGACTCGACGGCCGATAAGAAGGATGATGATTTCTTTGGCTCCTGGGATAAACCGGCCTCTTCTACCCCCGCCGTGGTTGCCCCTTCTGCAACTAAACTGTCTGGTATCGGCACCGGTGGACTCACTCCAAATGGCTCCAAACCCACCTCTCGAACGACCTCCCCTAACCCTGCGGCCCCGGCCGCCCCGCGTACCGTCCAGTCTTCCACTCTTCGTGCCGCCACCTCATCCAACTCCTCCGCACCCTCCAAGTCTAAGCTGGGAGCGACCAAGGTTGGTGCCACAAAAGTCAAACTAGGTTAGTCATTCGAAATTTTAGGTGCGCATGGAATAGCCACTCGGATAGAGTTCTGACAGGAAGGTTTTTGATTCATTGATAACACCTTAGGTGCTAAGAAAACCGGAGGGTCGATCAACTTTGAGGAAGCCGAAAGGAAAGCGAAGGAGGAGGAGGAGCGAGTGAAGAAGCTTGGATACGACACCAAAGCTGAACAACAGGCGCAAGAGAGCAAAGCGGCCTTCAAACCCAACGAGGTCAAACCATCCACCTCTTCAACAAACGCACCAGAAACCTCTGCGAAGAACGTCGCCCAGGATGAGCGGCTTGGAATGGGCTTCAGGAAGTTGGGCTTCGGCCAGACCTTCGGTCTCTCCGGCGAAGAGGCCGCTTCTATGGCCGAGAAACAGAAACGCGCCGCCGCGAAAGCTGCCTCCGGTTATGTTGAACCCGAAACCGGTACCGTCGCTAGAGAAAGATTTGGCAATCAGAAAGGTAATTGTTTCATTTTTGTTGTTTCCCCCAAATCAAAAGAATGAAAAAAAGTAGGATGAAAAGGAAAGTTAACAGACTTCTCACGAATAAAATAAATGTAGCAATATCGTCGGATATGTTTTTTGAAAGGAACGATTACGATGCACAAGCATCGACTGAAGCGAAGACTAGGTTGACGCAATTCTCAGGAGCGACGGCGATTTCGTCGAACCAGTACTTTGGACGAGAGGATCAGAACGAGATGTTAGACCAAGCCCAAGAAAGTATCCTGGGCGTCGATGGCTTACAGGGCTTAGAACAGGGCGCAAGAGAGCTCGCTAAGTCGGCTATGAAAGCTGCCGGTTATAATAATATCAATGAGTTGCAGGACGGCTTGCGTTCAGGAGCTATGAAGGTTCGTTTTCCTCCCCCCCCCCCCCTTTGAGACTCAACCCTTGTCCCCCCTTCATTAATGTGCCTTGTACTTTTTGTTGTTCATTCACCCTTATTTAGCTCGCAGACTATTTGGGTGATCTTTCTCAGCGATATGCCTGAATATTTTTTCCCCCCTTGGCTATCATCCTCTTTCATTATTGAGAGAGACACTCTATTTTCTTTTTCTGGTCCATTATCATCCAAAACGAGTCTCAGCACTTAAATGACCTGTTTTTTTAGTTTGAAAGGTGGTCAACCAAGGTTGGACATCTGGCAGGATATTAAAATCTCATGAAGTTTCTTCTTCTAGTGTTCTTCATTACAGCAGTAATCAATTCTCAGTGAACATGTTTTGTTTTGTTTTTCCTATCACAGTAGATTCATTTTTTTTTCTCATGATATTGTTCCCACTTCATCCTTTCCTACTGATCCTCAAGACTTCATCTCCAAATCATCTGCCTTTTTTTTTCTTCTCTTTTCTGGTTTCACAAAAATCACACATGAGTTATTGGCCGTTGAGTGAGACTTAGTCTCCATTGCATTTTATTCCTCTTTCCTTGTTTCTTTTCTCCTACGTTTTTCCCCTTGTTGGATCACTCTACTTCTGCTTTGGATTATCAGTTGTGAATATGATGTGTGTGTGTGTGTAAAAGGTATAAAAACATAGATTGGTTGAACTCCAACCAAGTTTAAATTGGTTGAGTGCATCCAAGTCAAATTGGGATAACCCCAACCCAGCCAATTATGTTGGTAGTCTTAAGCAGTGACTGTCCCCCTCTATGCAGTGGTTGGGGAGGTCTTTGGACTATTATCATTTTTTGAGCAAGACTCAGCAAAAAAATTGAGTTCCAAAGAACACTTTGAGATGAAGAAAACATTTAGTTGAAAGATTAGAGGGTGAGTTCAAAATGTAGAGCATCTCCAGATATCCAACTGGACCAAGTACCCCCTCCTACCACAGCGCCCCCCCCCCCCCCCCTGCATTCAGAGGGACTTGTTAAGTTAGTCCAGACATCAACAGATTAATTTGGGACTTGGGAGCCATGCTGAATTCTTCAAGCCCCTATCTTGCTTACTGGGGACAAAGTTGCCCCAGGGCAAAGCAGAGGGACTTAGGCTACAATTATAAACCCATTTTTGAGATTTTTTTTTTCAAAATGTTTTGAATTCAATCTCACAAAACATTGCTTACAATTTATCACAAAAAAATCTCAAATTGGCTTGGAGGGACAATTTGAGTTTGATTTTTTTTAAATTTCAAACATTTCTCATTTTTTGCAACACTCAAGAGGTCTGTGTATGGGTCTGTGTACTAGGATGAATGCTACAGAGCCCTTGTGCTGAAACACCAATCACCACCCTTGCATAGTGGCCAATAGCAGCACTCTCCTGTCCTACCTTGAATTCAGCTTTTCAGCTCAGATGTTGCTCCTTTCCCCAGTCCACCAGTTAGAGTCCTGAGGAGAGAAGTCTGCAAATGTCAGAACCACCAGGGACTTGTGGGCTAAATCAGAGCTTGGGTTTATGATTACACACCGTTATCAAATCAGTTTTGAAAACTGATTGGGCTATCAATTTCCTAAGAAAACCAGAAAAAACAAACTTCAAAACACTTTCAAAATAATGTCAAAAGTCTCTTTATAATTGATGCCTTACCCCTGACACAAGTTGGTGCTCTAGCCAATCTTGTTTTGAGGTCTTTTTGGGCCATTGCCCGCAGCGGCCCAGCTGTTGGAGTTGGTCACTATGTATGGCTGAGGCAAAGATCAGCCTGCATCTATTCTAACTTATCCAAGTCCCGCTAGAGATAGTCATTCGGTACCCGTGGCAGGTACCTAGTACCGCTTGGCAGGTACCCCTCACACCTGTCTTGCACCCGTGCAGAGGTGCTGGGTGCGGTACTAGGTACTTGAATTTGGCCAGAAAGCGGTGTGGTACCCTGGTACCGCTCACCCCCCCAGGAGATTCAGGGCCTGCAGGAAGGTAGAATGTGACATGTGAATGATATGTATATATCAATATCCCTGATGAATATTGTCCTGGTCCCCTTGAGCTGCCCACAGCACTCAACTGATGACAATAGTTGACAACCATGGCTCCCGAGAGTCACACCCACAAGCAAACCAAGAGTCAAGTGGTACCTGTGGTCCTGCCAGAGGTACCTGACACCGCCCAGGAGCTGCCAGGTGCGGTACTAGGTACCTGATTTTTCCCAAATAGGGGGAGTACTGGGTACCACTTGGTACCAGAGTCCAGAATGACTATCTCTAAGTCCCGCCCAGTTGTGGTTGGGTGTGCAGTGGTGAAGCACTGAACCTCATCCAATCGCAGGGAGGGACTTATGCCTAAAGTGGGGGTGCTCGCCTGAGACCATCCACCAAGAATTCTTGAAACATTGCTCTTTGAATTCTACAGCCTGTAGCTTACAAGCTGTCCATCTGAGGTAGCAAAAGTTAGCATCTCATGTGTCATGTCAATTTTTGGGACTTATCAGCTCATCAAGATACAAATATGATTATTTTACATTGATTTTTGAATTCAGTCAATACATCATTCATCCTCATCCATCTCAGGCTGTGCTTGAGGCTCCGGGCTTGAGCATGGTATATTACCATTTCATCTTAATCCTGTTTTCTTTATTGTTGGACAAAATTCCTTGAAAAACTGAGCTGACAGAAGTAGAGGTATTGCTTGGTCAACGTTTCCATATTCCCTCAGGCAAGCAGGGTGACTTGAGGCAAAAGTCTCTCCCTGCTGGAGGGGTGGCTTTGTGATGAATTATAGGCAAACAGAGGTCAGGATTTTTAATGGGATGAAGAGAGACAGTGAAGAGAATCTCACTGGAATGGCACAGGGTGAAAAAAATGAAGGAAGAGCCAATGAGGCTTGGTTTCTTGTAACTGGCTAGGTTTTAGAGATGGACTCAGGGTATTCGTTGCAAATACCCACCAGGCCCAATGAATACCCGCCAGAGGATTTGGATTTGGGTGCAGATGCCCCATTCTCCTCGGAATCCTGGCGAGTATCTGGGTATCTCCAGGGATACCTGTCAGAGGGACCCGTCCTTGAGAACTTGTACGGTCTCAAGGCCAAGAGGGGTTCCTCTTGGCCTGGAGACTATACTGTCTTGAGGCCAACAAGGCACAACCTTGTCAACCGGAAGGTCTTCCTTCCGGCCAACAAGGTACATGTGCCCCGTCAATTGGAAGGAAACCCTTGAGAAATTTATAGGCTTAAAAGAATATAAATTTCAGTAAAATGAAAATGAAAAAGAATAAAAAATGAGATAAGAGAAAAAGAAAAGAGTAGTACCTTAAAAGAACAGGAAGTTAGATGAACTACCGACACAGTAAGTACACGATTGACTCTTAAAGAGTATCTTATCAATTAATTCAGGATAAAAAAAGCTAAGAACATAAAGTTAGAGCGGTCAACAACTTAATGAATGATAACAATAAGAAATGATAATAAAAATACCTCAAGGCTATAAATCCCTAGCAGATGATCCCTCACACTCGATCGATGCTGAACTTGATGATTGATGAAGAGTAGTTGAGCGATGTCGAGTTGTGATAAAGAAGATGGGATGAGGAAAGAGCCTGTTGACCGTGCCAGATTGATCATGATGTCATGATCACAACACTCCCGATCTGGAGTATTGACAGCACCTGCACCCACTGTGCACACCTAATTCCAACGCCTGCACCCACTGTGCACACCCAATTCCAACAACCCTTCCAGTCAACAAGGCACATGTACCTTGTTGACCAGAAGGAAGACTTTCTGGTAAAATTTCAGCTGCCCTCTCCAACTGCCCTTGTGCAAGTGGTGGGTATCCAAAGATACCCGCTGAGGCAGGGGGATACCCGCCAGCGGATGCGGGTTGTGAAACCCCCCTTGTCTCAAGGGTTTCACAAAGTCATAAAGACCAGATTACATAAGCTGTCATCTACATATACTAGTCTTATTCCCTACGCCTAGACGGCAGAGTTCTTCTCTGATCCGTCTAGGACCTTAGGTGAGTATTCTCATTTCTCATATTCTTTTCCTCAGGGCTCTCCCTTTCTTGTATCTCAAAAGGACTAGTACTTACAAAGAGTTCTTCTCTGATCCGTCTAGTTTGAAATAAAAGACTTCCTTTGGTTCTAGAAACAAAAGGCTTCTAGCCTCGTGCCCTCTGCCTGTTGACGTAAGAACAGTGAAGAGAGTCATCTCTTACACAGGTGTGGCACAAAGTTAACAAACTCAAGAAGACAAGTGTCACTAAAATAGCTGATAAGTCATAGTAACCAGGGCTCATTGACTACAAGGATGTAGATCAGACGTGCATATATTAGATGAAAAACAGGCTATAATGATGAGTGAAAATATGAGTGATGAAATAAAAATAGAGGGTTGGAAAAACAACTCCCGAGAATTTTTTGATTACTCCCAAATAAAGTTGTTGGATGTCACTTGGGAGTTGTTCCTCCAAACAACAATGTAACTGATCCGATCCCAATTTATTGGAGAACTGGGATTGTGTAGAGAAATCTGATCCTGATACCCGGTATTGCAATCCAATCCCCAATAAATACCCATTCGGGGATTGGATTGGTTATGCTGTTGATGATATAAAAGCATGAGACATGCAGCCCACAGCTTTTGGGCATTGCAATCCCAATCTCATAAACAGTCTTTTGATCTGATACCCTGGGACAACGGTGGGCCAGCTACGCTAACCGTAGTGTAGCAAAAAACCGCTACAATTTAGCGTAGCATTAGCGCTTTTCTCATTTTCTGCGCTAATGCTACACGCATGGGGAAAAAACTTGCACTAACGTTTAGCGTAGCGTTAGCGCAATTCCCCCCATCTGCGCTAACGCTACGTGCGCAGGGCGCAAAAAACCACCCGCTACGCTGCGCTACAGCAGTTTTTAGGTGTTTTTTGCCGCTAAAAACGCTGTAGCGTAGCGTAACGCAGGGTAGCGGCGCCAGAGGCGCGCTAACACTACAGCAAAACCTGGCTAGTGTTAGTGTAGCGCAGCAGCCGTAGCGGCACGCTAACACTACACAAAAAAAAGGAATTGTTGGCGCCGCTACGCTAACGCTACATGGGCCCGTAGCATAGTGTAGCGTAGCGGCCCACCGCTGCCTGGGATTGGATTGCCCTAGTAATCCAATCCCCTATTTTTTGATACCTGGTATGAAAAAATTGGTCCAATCCAATAAATCAGCTGATACTGTATCAGATTGGATTGGTTCCAGTCTTGCTCCCCCTGAATGGATGACCGACTTTGGGAGTTGGCCATCCATTTATCTTTTAATTTATTTTTTGATTTTTTGGGAGTTGGCTCCCCAAACTACCCCTCAAGGTTGAGGGGATTTGGGAGTTTCTCAGTGCGCAAAAGAAAAGAAGAATTTGAGAAAGGGGCCAAGAAAGCAAATGTTCTTTTTTGGGAGAGGATCACAGAAAAAGAATGAAAGAACCAATGGTTTATTTTATTCACTGGAATCAAGTCAAGATTAAATAGACTAAATACAAGTGGTGAAAAAGTGGTTGTAAGAAATGAATAAAAAAACCATATTGAACAAAGAACTGAGAGGAAGAAACATGAGTCTTTGGAAGAAACAAACCAGACAAGGCTTCTCAATCTCTCTGAGTCAAGTCAGATGAGTTAATCAAGAAAAACATGCTATAATCCACAGATATTCAGAGTTTTTGATTCTAAGTAATCAGGCTTGCTGTTTACTTAGGGTTCACATTTGACTCAAAAGGAAGCTTCTAACAACTGAAAACAGGCTACTTGGTGGATATAATCTAGTCTGACTTATGATGAAAATAAAAGGAAGAAAGGGCAGAGAGAGAAGGACTGAAGAAATTTCAACAATATTTAAATGACAAACATAAAGAAAAATAGCTATAATTTGGGAATAAAATATTTCATCCTGGTAAATTGATTTTTACCTCTTTTCTTGAGTTCTCATTCATTATTTTCTTTTTGAAATATGTCTTTTGTATTCCTTATGGGTGTGATTGATCTTAACAAAACAGCAGCAAACCTCCCCCCAGGGGAACTTGGTTAATATAGGGCCTCCATCTTCCCCTCCTTTTTGTCAATTTAGAGCTGGCCCCTAGTACCCATTTTCAGGTACTAGGCACCTGTAGGAAGGTACCTGCCAGAAGGTGCCAGGTGTGGATGTGGATGTAATTTCAGGCAGTTAAACGCACCCACCTCTGGTACCTGGGTGCAAGGTGCTAGTAGAACTGGCAACTAGTACCTATTGGTAGGTACTAGGCACCCGTGGACAGGTACTTGTGGCAGTGTGCAGGTAACTTCTGGTGGGTGCAGGTATTCAACTTGAGTCAAGTTCAAGGGTAGTACCCACACCTACTACAGGATAACTTAACACAAGCCCCTCTGGGCAAAAATCACCCCCTCCGGATTTCACAAAGTCAAATTCCTTGCAGGGACAGGAATCACAAATGGCTGGAGGGAAAATAATAAGTCAGTAATCCCCTCCCTGACTCCCTATGGACTTGCCCCAGAGCAAAAAGATACTTGTGCATCCCAGCTTTTATTGGGTGCTGGTCTCATCCCCTCAATCCTTTCCACTCCTCCTCCACATTGTTACAAAAATAACAAAAGATGCAATTATTGGAAAAATATCCACCAAGGATCCACAACCATTCATGAATTGATTTGTGGATCCTGAAGTTGCACTCTGAATATTTTTTCAGATACTACAGGCAATATTTGTTGCTTGTCTCCAAAGACCTTTCAAGATTTGCAAATCCTTTAGAAAATCTGAAATTGGATTGTCAGAGATATGGAACATCTTCTAGGCTCCATAATTCATTTGATCTCCAAAATGAATTACTCAAGTCATATTTTATTCATAAGCTTCAAAAAATTGGGAGACATTCAACATGAAGAAATCCAACAGGCTACAGAACTGTCCATTCAAAATTTTGTGAAAAAGTGATGTTTTTGTTTAAAAAATAAAAAGTAGTTTTGGGACTGAAAATACCTCCTGCCTCTGCAAGCTTTCCAACATAATTCATAAGCCTCTCCTGCAGAGAGCGCTCTGCACGGAGTCCACAGACCATTTGTTCCCGGGGATTTGTTAAGCTAGCGCTACAGGTGCCCAGGTGCAAAGTGCCAGCTCTATGCCAATTCCAAAAGCAACACAATGTTTGAGGGGATTTTGAGGACACACAAACAGCACCAAGATGTTAGCGAAGCTTTCTCTAACTGGATGGTGTGACATGGAAGGTGAGGGTTGCAGATGGAAAAGAAGCCAAAAAGTGGGTTTTTGGACGATCAGCTAGAGCCTAGCTAGCAGGAACACTTGCCTTGCCCCGAGTGCCTCCGCTTTGCTCCGGGGTGACTCCGTTGCAAGCTCAGATAAGTTAGGGAGCCGTGGCATCGCGAGCTTAACTAATCCTCTCTGAGGAGGCACAAAGCGTCTCCGACTTCCTTGGTCGCCCGAAGGAGGGACTTCTGTTAAGTTTGGTTGACTCGCTCCGCTGTGTGTTCTGGCTGGTGTTGAGCTGGGCGCCGGGGAACAGGTACATTATTTTTTGTACTTTGTACCTCGCGAAAGGAACCCTTGGGGCAAAATGGTGCGCTATCCAGGGAGCAGCACTCTGAGGTTAGGTGTTCCTGCTGCTGGCATCTCATTCCCTGCTGTGGGCGGCGTTGGCATGCGAGTGGCCTCGCCACTGTTGCATTGCGCCGACCGTAGACAGAGACCCGTCGGGGCTGCCCTCCGGGCTCTCACTCAGAGGCTTGTGTTAGGCTCTGGTACTACTTTGTAGGGTTCCGACCCGGACCCCGCAAATCCGGAAGAATCCGGTCAACCCGCGGACGGGTTCAGGGTTCGGGATCGGCTTTGGGAGATCCGGCATCCGGTCGGATGCTGAAAACCCCCAGACCTCGGTTTTGACGTGGAATCCCCGAATATACCCCGGACGGGGGCCGCTGTGCACTCTGTCTTTGCTTGTCTGACCCCCTTCTTTTGGTGTAATACAGCAGAATATGCAGAAAAAAAAATATGTCAAAGATCCGGAAGAACCCGGCGCGGGGCCGGATACCCGCCGGGTTCGGCTGCGGGAGGGGTGAAACCCGGATCCGAGGCACCGGGTCGGAACCCTACTACTTTGTCGGTGACGTATCTCTCTTGCCATGTCAAATTATAAGCGCTAAGTTCCTTCAACCGCCGAGTCCCTTCATGGCAGGGTCCCAGAGGCTGGGTTGATTTTCAAGAATTGCATACAACACCCAGGTCCTTATCGGGTCTGAACCCTGGACCGGCTGTCAAAAAAAGAGCAGCTCCGTTTTTACCGTCAGTATAAAGCACACGATCAGAGGGGCATGAGTCTTCCACCTTTCCCCTCAACTAACATACACACCCCCACATTGTTCCATACCATTGCATTCCACACAACATCTCACAATGCACCTTTTAGCGTCAATCATCATTCTACTATCTATTTCTCTGAATCTTGAAGCTTCCTCCCGTGTTGCGCCGAGTCCGAATTTTCAGTGTAACGACCCCTTCCGTCCCCTGGTTGTCTGTGGACTTAAGTACACTGATGAAGATACCGGTGCAAAGTGGTACAGCTGTGAGTGACACATTTTAGTCCAAAAGTTGATTGCAGCCCCCCTCCCCCTCATAACATCTTCATCGGCTAGCCGGTTAATGATTTATTTTATTTTATTTTTCATTCCATTTCCATCCATTACGTAGTGGCCGGACCGACCATCGTAAGGCAAAAGTACAAGCAATACAACTGTGGCTACACCGATATGCTTTGTTGTGCAGACTATACGATATCCAGAGTAAAGTCACATAATTTCAATCGAGTTTCACTTGACTTCATTCCTCAGAATCTTTGCTTATTTATCTATTCATTTATAAAACTGCAGATACGCGCAGAACCTACTACTATCTACCAATCAACTGTCAATCAGTGGTGTGTTACCGGAACAATTGCAAAATGAAACGGCGGAGGAAAGAAGAGCTACATAGATGAAAGTTGTACATAAACATGAATGCTCTTGATTGTCCAAATTGTACATATTTTTCAAAAGTAAAAGCACATGACTGATTGTTTAAGCTCTGAGTGAGTTGATCAGGTTGCAGGAGAGTGCATGAGTTTTTTTTAGTAGAAGGATCTCCGGAGCAGCTAGGTCTGGACTCATCAATGACTTGATCCAAGGCATCCAAAACTTGAGGTGATCTGGGGTGCAAGTACCTAGCACCCCAGATCACCTCAAGTTTTGGATACAGTTGTCTGGGCTCAACTTTGATCTTCAATATTTCTGAGTTTTGATGATCTTAGAAAAAACCCTTCCAGTTAATGCACATTGCAAAGGTGAAATTCTTAAAAAGATTGGATGAGAAAATCAAAAAGTTGACCTCTGCAACTCTTTTAGTTGGAAATTCCAAGAGCTGCATGCAAACAAGGTACAGCCATTCAAATGTTGGATGGATCAAAAGTGTCCAACCATGACATGTGTGCATGCTTTTTCTTTTTTGAATGCAAGTATCTCCTTCAGAGGCTTCTGCAGATGCTTTTGGGAACAGACATCAGGTATTGTTTTGGTTTTAGGAATTTGTGGTTGATGTTGGTGCCTGAATAATGTAGAGAAAACAGCCAAAAACAATTGACAAAGTAGAAAGAAGAAATATCCCTCTGGTAAAAGAGAGTACGACTCATAATCCTTTATTAAATTCAAAGTATTGATAAGGTTTTCCTGTACGTTCATCAATAATGTTTGAAAATCTGTCTTCCAATTTGTGGGCCTGAATTTTAGCACGTTGAGGGAAAGCAGCGATCGCTGGAGGGAGAAAGAAAAAGAGAGAGCCGCCGATCAAACCTTTTCAAGACAAAAAAAAGAAGAGCCGAGTTAGAGGAGAAAAAGGGTGTCAGTTTTGGGGTAGAAATTTGATTATGATGATTGATGGACGTACCGAGGTTGGCAATCATTTCAAGAGACTTGCCACGTGGCCCCGAGAATGTGCCTCTTTTTTGCAAGGCGGTGATTATCAGTGGAGGCAGAATTAGTGTAGGACTGTGGGTGAGAGGAAGTGGCGAGTTAGCGGGAGGAGGAACCAAACGGCTATGAAGGTTTTTTGAAGCCAAGGTTGCTTACATGTTTGTTAGGACGCGGGAGGCAGCAGTCTGACCGACGGCATAAGAGCCCGCAATTCTCGACTTGCCCACGCTTTGTTCAGGGTCACTAACTCCGGGGGGATAGACATCGATACCGTCGCGGAGCTCTTTCCAACGCATCAGACCGACGTTAACGCATCCGGCGGAGGCGACAGCGACGAAGGGGACGAAGCGGGCAAGAAGGAGGCCGGTGTCGTGGCCGACACGTTTGGCGAGCCGAGGGACGAGCCTGTTCAGTCCGACCGCTAGCCCCACCGAGGTCACCGTCGCACTCACATACGCCTTCGCTACTTCGCTAGTGCTCATCGCCGTCGACTTGTTCGCATTCGAATAATTCACACACACATTCAGTGTCTGGTTCGCCCATTGCCATCCAATAATCGACGCTAAGGACGGATTCGGCAGCAAAAGTCCAGTCGCAATGATCAGGTTCGTAGGCACAAATGCCGACATTCGAAATGGCAATGGAATCGGCTCTTGGGTATCTGGATGCAGTGAGGCTTCAACGACTGTCATGAAAAGAGTTTAAAAAACTGAGGTGAGTGTCCTTATAACTTTTCTGTGAAGTCATATGAAAGAAACGCGTTGAAAAAATAGTATGTAGTTGGGGAGATTCCGAACCTTGTTTAGCAGCCCAGACCTTTTCCTGGGTCTCATGAGAGCCGTCCAGGTCGGCCCTCCTGCCCGCAGCATAGTCTTTCAGGAGTTCTTGAGCTCTCCGGATCTCGTCCGTAGAATTGAAGAGGGTCAGGGGAGATGTGACGGTGATGAAGTGTCGTAAGCGTCCGTCTGTATCCTTCGAGTTTGCAAGAGGAGATATCCCAGCCAGTCATCTCGTCAACTAACTCATTAAATCAATCGGACCGCCCAACAGGCTGGTCCCGCGACCTTATCATCCAAGACTAGAGTGTTCGGCCAATAAACACGCACAGTAGGTATCCAGGTCAAAACGCGACTTTTCTACAGCAAAGAAAAAAAAAGAAAAAAAAATTGGAATCAGTATCATATCTCCAATTTTCTGGATGGCTAGAAGGCTAACAATGTAAAAGAAATAGCACTCAACTGATATCGATTGCTTCCAGTGCAGTCGTCTTGGATTCCATGTTTGTGCGTTGCTAATTGTTGTATCAAAAATGTGGCCAAATATAATTTTGCTTGAGGGAGCAGGGCGTCGAGCCGACCCACAGCGTGCAAGGCAAGACTCCCGAAGTGGTTGGCTGACTCGACAGCTGTGACACTCCTACTTGGTAAACTCGAGGTCTGTGATACTCCAGCATGAACAAGTTGTATGCAACATGTTATGTACCATACAAATCACAGATTGTGAAATGGATAACATAGGATAATATGTAATTTGTTTCAATGGACTCATAAATAACAGTATGGCTTGTTTCATCTTAAATTGTATGTTGCCCAATAGATCTCAATAGATCAAATGAAAAAAGTATACACAGCTGCTCAAATGTGATTGAGTATGTCATTTAATTTTTGCCCATGGAAAACAACAATCAAACAGGCAGCAAGTAAGGAAAATGGATGGTATGGCCAAAGAAAGGGGAAAGCTGTCTGAGAAAAGGCTGGACAGTAGCACTTTAATAAAGCTAAAAAAAGATGATAAGATATCCTGAATCTCAAATCTAAAGCATGCAGAATGATAGGGAACACAATGTGAGATGAAAAAGAAAACATGAGGTTGTTGATATCTGTGGTCCTAATAAGAAAGGATCAACTATTTAGCTGAATATTTGCTTGAGTAGGTGTATTCCTTCATTTCAGGGTACATTTCCTCAAGCTCACTCAAGCTCATGTGAATTTGTCTAATTGCTTCTAACCAACTAGAAGATTCTTCCTGTTGTTTTCCTGCTGATAATTTTGATATTTTGTAAAGTGAAAAAATCAATTGAGATTTGCTATCACTATTAAGAACTTTGAGAATGTGTTTGCCAACTATTGATGAAATTCTTTTAACATCCTTTCTTGTGGCATTTTCACTTTTATGGTACAAACTCTTGGATAAAATACTGTTTATTTGCAAAAAGAACACCATGAAGTCTGGACCTAATGTTTTCTTAGACCAGTGCTGAATTTCTTGTTCTGCTTCACTTCCCTTTCCACATTTTCTCAAGTAATCACATAGATTGAAGATTCTATTCAGAATTTCAAGAAGATCACTGTCTATTACATTGAAAATGAAGATATTTTGTCAGAATGTAGAGTCTTTTAACTATACAAAATCCAACTAGATAACTTACTCTGTGTTTTGTTTTTGGTAAATTTTGGTTTGATAATTCCAAATGTTTTCTTATTTTGTAATGCTCCCAAGCCATCTTTTTCAAAATCATACAGAATTTTATTTATACCTTTCTGATAATCTGATGATAAGTTTTTTGATTTTTCTGAATCCTGATTGAAAAGGTAGAAAAAATGCAACAATGTTTGATCAATCTCTCTTCAAAACATTCAAAGGATTATTTTCCAAAACCTTACATGATGGTGCTGATCTAAAATATTCAGAACCTGCTTGATTTTCTTTCCCAAGGGTGATAACCCTTCTCTTTGTGGTATCTTGAGAGGAGTGGTTTACCAAGAAATTGAGTTACCTTATTTTTCAATTTGCTCAAAAAAATATTGGGCTGACCTCAAAAACACGGTAATGAAAATAATCCACTGGATCAGAATCATCCAAAAGATGTAAAACCTGTGATAGCCTCTTGTTCAAATTTGATAGAACTTCCACCTGAGGATACTTTTGGAAGTTTACAAGCATTGTATATTTTGTGAGTTGTAGTTCCATAAAAATATAAGAAACATCTCTGGATCTGCTTACATTTTCAGGGGTAAAATCCTCAATCAAAATTCTTCTCAGAAACTTCCTCAGTTGATGACCCATGGGTGTCATAGATTCCATGTGGTTATTAATCTGAAGAAACAAATGAAAGAAATTCATCATCATTTTCCTCTATAGGGAATCAGAAATGCTCACTGTATCATCTGGGATTATCTTCCCTGAAAAAATTCCTAGCACAAGATCAAATATTTCTACTCCAGAAGTAGAGTGCATATTGTAAATTTGTTGTTTTAGCTTCCAAAAAAATCAAATAAAAAAAATGAAACTCTTACATGTTTATGTGAATCACCATGCCAAATGAAAATCTCTTGAACCAACTCATTCATTTTTCCAAATAAATCATCAAACCTTATTGGATCTTGCATTTTAACACAGCGATGAAACCAAATTCCCAACAAAGAAAGCCTTAGCCCATTTCTCAAAAATGACACAGCACTTGATTTGACTTTTATCTGTGATGAGAAATCAGAAAATGTCAGTCACACTCCTAAAGTTTTCACACAAGTTTTGATGGGCTAGCTTGCACGAGGATCTTTTTTCAAGTCCTCTACCAAGATATCCAAAAATTTCTTCAAGCCTTTCCATGAATCTGTCAACATTACTTCCTGTGGGACCTTTTAGACAATTAGATGCAAGAGATCATATTCAGTTTATTCTGTAAAATGTTTGGATGGAGTTTTTTTTGGTATATCTTACATTCAAATCCTTGTCAGAACTTTTGAAAAACATATCTAGAGCCTCACTTAAGTTGTTTGCCCAATACGTTCTGATTATGGCTTCTTTCAAAAGCTTTTTAAAATTGAATCATTCAAGTTTCAGTTGACTTTTTCTTACTTGCAGCTCAATAATCTCCCTTCTTCTCTGCTTACACATTCATTTCTATACTTTTCTACAAACAAAAGTGAATCCAGGAACTGGTTTAATTTCTTCCCTACGGAAGATTTGATTTCTTTTTCAGCCTTTTCACAAACATCACAACTAATTCAGTTTTTCAATGATATCCATCTTCAAATCATTTTCCAAATTCTTACATCATAAGCCTGGAATGTATGCTCAGTTAGAATATCCTCAAGAATCTCCTTCAATTCTTTTCTCAAAGTTGATGACGTCAATTCTTCTTCCTTTTTCTAAAAATGTGAAGTAAAAGATTTTTCTCAGTTTCAAAGTTGTGATATGGAACCTTTCCAGTTGCAGATACTTACAAAGCCTGATCCACCATTCAACAAGTCTTTTAGAATCAGGTTTAATGGGTGATTGAAATATAATGGAGGTGGGATCTTGAAATAAATTGAGCATTGCATCTCTTTAGCAACCTTTTGATTTCTAATTTGTGGGCTTGATTTATCAGCTACTTAAAACACGACTGTGACACTCATTTCCATCCAAGTTGTTTGGTTTTACAGCTGTTTCTTGGGTCTTCTGTTCAGTAGAATCTGAGGAAGTTGAGATTATTTCACTAGATTTCTTTTCAGAAATTCACTATCAGTACTCTCATTGGTATCAACTTTGAAGGCTGAAAAGCTGAATAGTAGGGGGTATCAGATATATGAAATCCACCATTATAACCCAGTCACTTTTCCTAATTTTTTTAGCATCAATAAGCCTCAAAAGGGGTTAAATGAAGAACCAACATGTTTAAAAAAGGGTGTATTTTTTCAAACCAGTCAATTAAATAATGGTGGATTTGGTTATATTTGATACCCCCTAGTATTTAACAACTTACTAAGTCATTTTCATCAAAAGAAGGCCATTTATTGAGTAGAGGCAATGTCAGTTTTTCTTCTTCTTCAATTATTATCCCACTACAGCTATTTGCAAACAAGAATGACAATAAGATACACAAAGAGTAATGGTAATAATTCATTTTCACAGGATTCTGAATAATTTAAGGAGTGGCTTCTTGGATGAAAGATAATTGAGGAATGTGGTAATCTTGGAATGAAGTTGGATTTATCTTCCAATGAAATACCTTTTCTTATATATCCTATGATGAAACAATGGTATGTTGGGAACAAAACGGTCTCTGGTCGAGGCAAAATGTGCCTGCTCCTAAACAGTGCTGATGAGACCAAGTTTTCAAAGTATATGGAGTTTCACATGAATGAAACTTGTACATACTGCCTGAGATTGGTCTTCTGAATACAAAGTACTGATACACAATACACATATACTTAAAATCAGCATGAGGGAATCATTGAATATACTAGATTGGTTAAAATCCAATTGAAACGGTACTGAAAACTGTATTTCATTGCACAAAAACATTTGAAAGATGTCAGCTTTCATGTTTCAGCATTTTATAAGAACTGAATTACCTCTGGGTCAGTCTTTTTCTACCTCCCAATCCTCCTATAAAGTATTGGAGGAGTTTTTCACCAGGAATTTTTAGCTTCAGAGAAAGAAAACAGTATAATTGATAATTTCTGATTTTCAATTACAGCTAAACTTTGAATCGTATATATTATACCTGGTGTCCATTTTTGGATAAAAAAAAAGTGAAAAGTACCCAGGGACCTTCAAGGGTAGCTGCTCCCAAACCCCCTCCTTGGTTAATCAACCAAGACCAAGCAGGTGGCCAAGATTCTTAAGAGTCAGAAACCTGGTTGAGACCAATCAGGCCTCCAATAAGGAACCTTATCAGCAACCTGATGTTTATATCTGAAATTTATTCACCAAGGAAAGATTACCACTGTTACCCACCTAAAGTACTGCCATTAACCACAAAGAGGTGCCAGGTGTGGTACTGGGTGCCTGCTTTTGGCCTAAAATAGATGCAGTAACTGGGTCTCACAAGGCCATTCTTATCCTAACAGAAGTGTTGAATTTCTGCCCTGTGACACATCTCAACTGGTCTATTGCTGCACACAGCCACCAACCCATAAATTGACTTTCAAAGATTTCAAACCTTGACCTAAGCATTCCCTTGACTTCTTTGCAACCACATCTCATAAGTCAAACCTTGAGTATTCAAATTTCCTACTTCCTCCCTCTTCTTAATTCTTGGTCCTCATCCATCTCTCATCTCAACAATTGAATCAAACTCTATCATTTAATAAATCAGAATGAATCCTGAGCTTGACTTCAAAAAATATTCAAAAATCACTCTTCAACACAGTGCTAATATCCATTTGGTGAGAAAAAAACGACAACACATCAACAGTCAAGCTCACAATCTGACTTGTATTCTATTCTCAGTCTGGCTTTTTGGTTTCTTAAAATAAGAATAATCAGGTTCAAAAATCAGGCTCTTCAATCCTAATTTGATACAGCTGTCTTGAAAATTCTTAACTTGCTTCACCTTCTGTGATAAGTGTGCAGAATTACTATATATTTCATACTTTGGAAAAATTATTTGAAGGAAGATCAGAGGTTTTTTTTTTCTTTTTTGTTCAAGTCAAAGTAGGCCAACACTAACAAATAAAGACTGGTAAGAATCACTTGAAGACTGAAGAATAAAGAATTCTGACCAAGCTGAAATGCAAACAAAGTTGGATTGGCTTTTTGGATATAAAATATATTATGAATTCAATGTGACTTTTGCAAGGTCAAAAGGGAAAGAATTTATATTCCATGTATCAAGAGCAAAAGAGTTAAATCATGTTTTTTCATGGACTGTGAATTTGTGGATATTTCATGCAGAAATAAAGGATTAGCAAGTTAAAAATCAAGGGGGAATAGATTGAATTCATTGGAAGTATAAATTGATGAACTAATTATATTCTTTCTTGTAATCTGGATTAATCATTTCACTATCATTGGTGTGTCTTGAATTTCAATCACCAAAAATGATTCATATTTTATTTTTTCATGTCTACATTCAGAGTTGATTCTTTCCAAATTTATTTTGCCTTTGGTTTAATGACTGTTTTTAGTGTTTCAGATTCAGCTTCATTCACAAAATAAATAAAAGAAAATCAGCCAGTTTTTCAACAATTTGAACTGAGTAATTTTGGACTTACGGAGACCAAAAACCTCATACTTTCCATTTTCAAAAAATAATCCTCTATGAGGTATGAATCCTTTTACATGATGATAATTATAGTAATTGGAGAGTGGTATTATATCTCCAGCCTTGACATTTTTATTGGATACAACAGTAAAATCAATCTTTTTTAATTTCCCAAGAGCGGAAAAGAGGGCACCATGATTCCCCATGTCATTAATCAATCCATAATTGAAACCGCCCACCCTGATTTCCTTCCAAGATGTACCTGAATTTTTCAAATTTTCCATTCTATAGTTCTTGAATTCAGATGGATGATACCTTTGTATATATTTCATGATTTCATTTTCAATCAGAGCAAATTTCTCTTGATCTTGGTATTGAAGGTGTGCAAGTGCTCTAAAAAGGTTTTTTTCATCCTCTTTTATAAAGTTTTTGGTTTGGACGAAACCTTCGCTTCGTTTATAAGATTTCATGGGAGAAAGATGAAGTCCTGAGATTGCCTCTTTTGCTATGCGAGTGGATTTGAAAAAAAAAAAAAAAAAAAAAAACGACTTTAGAATCAAGTGGCATCACAAGAGCGGGGGGAGAGGCTAAGAACTAAAATGATTCTGGATTTCTCCCATAGAAAGTGGAGAAATATGGGAAACTCACGTGGATCTTTTTTTGGAAAGAGACGTTTCAATGATTCAGTGATGCGATCCATCATTTTATAAAATGATTCTTTCGCCCTGCCCGTCCATCTAGTGAACCCGCTCGGAGTTGGTAGTGGTTTCAAGGTTTCGGAACGCTCTCCCCTGCCCAGGCTTCCACCTTCTTCGATTGGATTTTTCAAAGAAACTGGATTTGCTTTTTGAGCGAGGGAGGAAGCTAATTCTTCAGGCCCAGCTTCCTTAGCGATTCTACTGCCGCCAAAGGTAGTTCGAGTTGCAGAGCTTCCACTACTAATAATTTCCATTCCTTCGACCAAAACTGCACCCAGAATGAGCCATGTGAAGCACATCAGTGATGCCATTTTGATCGACAGAGGGTTATGTGATTTGGCCCGAGGATGACGTAAAACAGGTGTATTGGCTTTTTTAGCAGACATTTCAATATCGCCAATTATGTTCTGTAAGTAGTAAACGATATTCTATTGTTGAATGCTGGTCTATTAGAAAAAAGATGGGAAAAGGAATGTGGAATGAAAGAAGCTGTGTGCCCAAAAATAAGTGGAAATGATTGTGGATAGTTGGGTGAGTTCTAGTCTTGGTGCTGCCCGGGAGTTAATCAACGTTGTTATCAAAAAAAAGGATTGTGGATAGTTGGGTTGCTGTGGGTATTGCCTGGAAGTTCAACATTTGTATATATGTGGAACGATGAATGCACAACCGGAGAACTTCGAACAAAGAATGTGGGACACAAGTTGTCTGAGCGGGAACATCACAGTTTTTGGTGAAACGAGTTGAGCACACCTCCCTCAAAATCGTTCGGACAAGTCTCTAGCGGCGGTGCAAGCCTCGACTCCGCATTGTATAGACACTTTCGCCTGAGGTTGACCGGAAGCATTTCTACTCTTGGTGGAAACAAGTTTAGGGCATTCAAGCAAGTCTCTGGGGGCGGCGTATGCTTCGACTCGGTTACTATCCTCCGTGAATATATTGTAGTTTGACAATGGTTTGGCCATGAATTTTGGGATCGATTGAAGGTCGGCCAAGCGTGAGGGAAGATGAAAAGCCGGAGCCTTTGGTTCATTGACCAAGCCACAGTACAGGCCTGCATACATCGGTCTACCAACGGGCCGTAGTCAAAACCGGGATTTGGACGCAACTCGCGCGGTCCAAGAGGTCCGAGGTCTGCTGGGGTCGGGCCTGACCGCGCTGCATAGACGTCGAAACTACGGGCCTGCCAGCGGGGCTGGATGGATCGGCTTGAATTCGGTACCGCATTAAAAATTTTGGGAGTCTCTCTACATAGTTACCGTCCGGACACTTTTCAAAGTCGCATCAATGATTCTTCATCAAGTCTTCAAGAGCCACACATATTTGGCAACTCATAGACTGGATGTAAACTTGGTAAATGTCCAGATGATTGCGCGGTCTGTCTTCGCTTAAAGTGCGAACGTAGGGGAACGGTTCGGATGAACCTCTTGGCTGCGGTAGAAAAATATACTCAAGTTGTACACTGATATCACTAGTCGCATCTCAGCATTGTGCGTTTTGCAGTGATTATGAAGTATGTCGGGCAAGTGAGCCCGGCGAAGACAATATGCATGCATCATGAAGGCCAGTCAGGCAGCATTCCAATCGCTGCACCTTCTTCAAAACAGCCAAGCCAAACCGGTGGTGTTCACTTAATCAAGTTGAAATATCAACCCAGGCACGTGTTTATTAAGGATGAAAGAAAAGAATAAATTTCAAGGATCATATTGGGCATATAAGTGTACAAAATTTTGGGCATAGGAAAGGGAAGCGAAGAAGAGAAACGAAGTCAAAACCATGATCGATCTGTGAAAGTTCTCAGTCAGCTCTCTCTCTTCCTAAAAGTATGCATAGGTGGAAAGTAGAGAGCACAAAAAACTTACTTGAATTCAATTTCTTTTTGTTGACTTTCTGCTTCCTCGCATTCCATCTCGGATGGCCCTGACGCGGGCATAAGGATCGATTCGGTCACTTGGCCTCTCTGGCCGGGGTCGTCTGGCTTGGCTAGATGTTGACATTCTGCTACCTGGCAAGCGATCTCGGATGGCCCTGACGCGCGCGTAAGGATCGATTCGGTCACTTGGCTCCTCTTGCCGTGGTCTTTTGGCTTGGCTAGATGTTGACATTCTGCTACCTGGCAAGCGATCTCGCATGGCCCTGACGCGCGCGTAAGGATCGATTCGGTCACTTGGCTCCTCTTGCTGTGGTCGTCCGGCTTGCCTAGGTGCAAGCGGGGTTGGTCGCCGACTTTCCCTCCGGGTTAATTTCCCTTGAGAAACTGCAGCCGGTCTGGAGAGGGTACCTCGTTGTGGCGAAGGTACCAAGTTGCCACGGCCGATGAGGGTATAGACCCTAGGGTGGCGAGTTCCTCGATGGGGAACAGTAAGAAAGGACCATATGTAATGCTTACGAGCGGACATCTTCGCCTCATAGTCGATGAAAGGGAGCCTTTCTAGTTGTCGCCTGTTGCGCAGCGGAGGGGTGGCAGTCGACGGGTCGAGGGAGGAAGCTGCCGCTTGGTTCGGGGCAGGAGCTACTTGTTGAAGTGGCGAGATGCCGCATAAAGGAGATGGCGGCTGGTGGCGCTTGACTCCGGAGGCATTTATGCGGGCCCGGCACATATCTACAATATTTCCGCATAAAATTCAAGCATTAGCGTTAGGATCATATGCCAATCAGAACAGCTGTGTTAGACTAACATATCTCATCTTGATAATCCATTTCGGCTGTTTCAGACGGTTAAGATGACTATCTACTGCAGTGGGTGGAAAAAGCAAGTATGAATCAATGACAGTGATCGCTGGGGTGGTGTTCCTGGTAGGGGGGAGGAAGGATGGTGTAGCGAAGGAGTTTTGTTAGCTTACCTATGAGGATTTGGGTGCGGAGGGGGAGATGGAGGGTTCTTTTGGGGCTACTACAGAAAATGGACGGAAAGGGGTGATGAGTGAGAAAGATGGAAGGAAGAAGAAGAGATGTCGGCCTCAAGATTGAGCTAGATGGAAGAAGGACTATTGCACCAGGCAATATCAAGGAAAGGGTGATGGCTTACGTGGGAGGGTCTTGGCAGTGAAAATGAAGTGAGAATTGGTTGTGGATGAAGAGAAGGGAGGGAGTGCGAAGGGGATGATGGTTTAAATAATGAAGCAGTCTGCGGAATCTGTTGTTTCTCTTTCTTAGCAGCAGAAGCTACAACACTGGACCAGAACTATAGAGTCGAAGGGTTTAGCAAGCTCAGCAGCTGATTAGTAGAATCACCCTTGTGTTGAGAAGACGTGATTCACGGCGGTTGAGCATCGGACAAAGGAAATTGACAAGAACAAGGGGAATCAATAAGGGCACGATTTGGCTTTGTATATAGCCAACGCATCTGCTGAGCCAGCCGTTCCTCCCCTAGTAGTACAAGAGTCAGCATTGGATTACTTCCGAGGACGGTTGAGGCTCAGCAGCCATCAGCAGTTGAGTTACAGAATCGTGATACTTTGATTAGACATAAACAGTGTGGACAAAAGAAATTCATAAGAGTAGAACACAAAATGGACAACGGCAATCAATTGAGCTACAAAATAAATTGGACAACAATCATTGATACAAGCACTGCAGTTGCACGACACGTCCTCAGTTGTTTGGTTGGTTTTTTGAACGTCTTGTATCCACACAGGCTGTAATGCTCAACCATTGAGAACACAATAGAATCAATTAGCTGAGGGTCTAGCAGCATCTCTTTAGGCTGCGCTCTAATTCCATTACTAGAAGACCAAATTTTATAAAGACATAGCCTCCAACAGGCCATCGAGATAATTGCTTCCGCTCAGCTTGTGCCTCGAAGTTATATTGACACTTCAAACGATTTGTAATAGAAGACCTGGGCGAATGCGGTGGTCGTGAAGAACCGACTTGATGGGACCTAAGTAACAGAATAAGGTCCAGCACTGACTTACCGCCAGGGAGGGGAGAAGCCCAGCAGCCGTTGATTGATAGAATTGAAATCCTTTGTGTAGAGTAGACAGCAGCTGAGCTCTGGACAAAGGTAAGAATACAACAAAAGCTGGAAAACACTAACATCGATTCATAGACAGCAATCAATTCAAAAAAGAATTTAGAAGGAAGTAGAAATGTGTCGTTTTAATTTTTCTAATCACTGCTTCCTGCTTCCGTTTTTGTTGTCTATGTCATATTATTTGTCTTGAGACAGTGTGAACATTTTCATCATCTGGTTTCTTGTCCTTTACAAAAGTTAGACCTGGTGCGTCAATTGCTTGTTTTATTTTTGTCACCACTCGGACTGCTCTATGCAAAGGAAGCGCCCGTTTACTGAAATAGGCTTTGATCCTGAAATCTACATACATCTGGTGAAGGGAGTTTTGATAACCTTGACGGGACTGAATAGTTATAAGTTTCAAAGAACTGCACTTTTCCAGATCACTAACTGCGCCTGCAGGTAGGATTCCCACTTTCAGCATAAAAGGAAGTACATTGATTGATTTTAAGATCCAGACAGAAGTGAGTTTCTTTAGTCTTCTGACTTGATTTCATAACACTAGCTCCTGGAAACATTCATTAAGGTCCTGACTCCTTAACATGCCAGCCCACTTGGTTCCTTTTCTTCTGTGTATTGGACCAAGAAAAGAGTTGGTCAAGAGGAACCTTGGCTGGCCCATCATCGCATTATGAAACGCGGTCAACAGACCAACACTTGAAAAGCTAGTCATTGCTGTTTGCTCGCCATTAGCAATCTAAAGCTAATGAGCAATGGCTCATCTTGGGTACTCTGAAGGGAAAACACTGGAGTTCTTTTGCAACAGGAACTAACAAAAATGATTGCATAAAAAGTCAGAAGAAACATAATTTCTGTATGTATTTGGCCTTTTGAGAAAGATGAGCCTCCCCATCTTCATTGTGATCAACCCTTGTCTAATGATTGTGTGAGGATATTTATTTCAGAATCAATATCTAATTGCAACATCAGGTTATTTTGATGAAACCTCATAGGTTTTTGTTTTGTTTTTATTTTCAAGTGAAACAAGACATAACACCAAAAAAGAAAGACTGAAAAGAACCATCAAAAGAGTGAGGAGTGAGGAGGTGTGGCTTTTCTAAAATCTAAAAAAATGTGGATTGGTTCAATATAAAGGATAGTATAAGTCCAACATGTATTTCTGTGGTTTCTGACAGGATTGGAAACAAGAAAGAAGCAGAATGAATATTCCAAGCATCAAGTTTTTGGATTCCAGGATATTTCATACATAATTCAGGGGAAACAGATTGAATTTATTGGATGTGGAAGGTGATGAAATAAGGGTATTTTTTTTCTAGGAATGTGAGTACATCATCTCTCTCTCCATTCTGGGTATCTGTGGGGTTTACTCACCAGAGATGATTGTGATTTTGATTTTTAGCATCTGTGTGGATTGGTGATGGTCTCTGGATTCCATTTTCTTTAGGTTTGATGACAGCTTTCAATACTTCAGATCCCGCTTGATTCATGCAATAAGTAAGAAAGTAATCAGTGATTTTCACAAGATTTTGTTTTGAGGAATAGGATACTCACAGCACCCAAATACCTCATAGTTTCCATTTTCTACAACCAAACCTTTGTTTATCTCAATTCCTTTTCTGGGCTCAAAGCTAGTGGTTTTGTATTCTACAAAGCCATGCTGACCCTTGGGAAATTTCCTAGATGAAACATGAATATTCATTTTTGTTGATCTTGCAAATGCAGAAAGTATGATGCCATAACTCCCTGGCCTGTTGATCATTCCATAATCAATGCCTCCCACATTAATTATCTTATCATACAATTTTTCATTTCCATAAGTTGTCATTCTATACTTGACAAATTCAGATGGGTAATGGTTTATGTATCTAATTATTTGTTCTTCAATGAGCTGATGCTTCTCTTGATCTTGGTATCTGAGATGTGCAAGTGCTCGAAAAATGTTTTTCTCATCTTTTTGTATGAAATCTTTAGTTTGGATGAAATCACCTTCTGGATATTTCGCCATGGAAGCAAGATTGAGTTCTGGGATTGCTTCTTTTGCTGTGCAAGTGGGGTAAGAAAACAAATAGATTGTTTGCATCAATTGTTATTCATATGAGAGGGGTAACAGCTGAAATGATGTTGCATTTTTCCCATAGAAAATGAAGAAATATTGGAAACTTACGTGGATCTTTTTTTTGCCTGAGGCGCTGCACTAATTCAATAATGTGGTCAATCATTTTATACCATGCTTCTTTTACCTTGCCCCTCCAGATACTGAGCTTGCCCGGAGTTGGTGGCAGCGCAAAGGTTTTGGGACGTCTCCTGGCCGGGCTTTGGCCCTCTCCTAACAAATTTTCTCCTCTTCCCTCGCTTGGATCGTGGAAATCCGGTTCCGCTTTTTGAAGTAGGGGAGTCAATTCTTCATGTCTAGCTCCCCCACCAATTTTTCCGCCGCCGGAGAAATTTCGAGTCTCAGAAGCTGCGACAGCAGGAATTTCCATTCCTCCAACCAAAACTATACCAGGAACGAGCCACGTGAAGCACAACAGTAGTTTCATTTTGATGGACAGGGGACTGAATGATCTGGTCCGAGGATTGCATGAAACGTGGCTATTGGCTTTTTGAGATGCCATTCGAATATTGCCAATGTTTTTTGTATTCACAAGTAGGAAACGGCTTTGGCAGCTTTTATTGTCGAATACTAATCTACCCGGAACAATGAGATGGGGTAAGAGAGGTTGTGTGCACAAATATAACAGGAAAGGGATTGTGAATAGCTGGAGGATTCTGGTGCCACCTGGAAGTTACTGTGTATAATATGTGGAACAGAATTCCGCACAGCCAATGTGGGACACAAGATGTTTAACCGAACACATCATAGCATCTTACGCAAATAGTTTAGCACATCCGTATGCGGCGTGGCATGCCTCGACTCGGCTATCAGCTTACGTACATTTTGGCCTGAACAAATGGTACAGCGGCAGCCTGGCTGTGACCAAGATGTTTGACCGGAATCATCGTAAATCTTGGTGGAACAAGTTTAAGGCATCTCCCTCACACTCTGTCCGACAAATTTCTGGGGGCGGTGCAAGATTCGTATCGGCTATGTACTACTCGGCGTATATTGCCGTGGCCATTGTGAGGATGGATTGAAGGTGAGGCAACCTTTGGAGAAGATGAGGCCTGTGGCACATTGGGCAGAACGCAATGATGATATTAGGCCTGCATTTGTCGGCTTGCTTCAGGGCTCGAACTTACCTAAGTTCCTCCGATGAGAGTCCGAGAGCCCGAAGGGCCCTCCGCAGGAGGATAACTTTGAAATGAATCATAGTGAAACATGGCTATTGAAACTTGCGTGTTCAAAACACCTCCCAGAAAATTTGAAGCAATGATTATCGATTTTTTGATTAGTGACTGGTGAAGCAAAACCTACCTGTGAGTTGGGATTGTTTTCCCCAACACATTACCCTTAAATATATGCGGTCTAGCACATGCAAAACTTCTCCTTACCTTGTTCTTGAAAAAGAAAACACATGAGGCAAAAAGTTTTTTTCATTCCATTTTGTCAAGGTGTCCTGAACACTGTTGCCCTAGACAAACAGGCCCTGTGCAGGCAGACCCATTCTTGAATGCTCCATGATGAAATATGTTGAGATATGTTGTGGGGCAAGTTTACACCATAGCAAAAACATTTTCATTACCCTTCTGATTCTTTTAATGTATGAAATAGGACCAAACGTTTGAGCAGAAAAGAAAAAAACAATACACATTGAGATCATTACAAAATTGGTGCATTTTTTTTGTCTCCTTTTTTGCAAGTTCAAGTTCAAGTTTAAAAAACAAAATAAAGAGAAAGCTGAAAAAGAGAACAAACAGGTATATGTAGTGATATGGAGAATTGGGGAAGTAAAGTAACAATTGTAAAGTCAGAAAAGAAAAAAAAGTGTAGGTATTTATATCAAGGATCAAAAAGGGTCAAGTAATGGATATGATAAACCAATGAAAAGTTCCAAATGGATGGAAGTCCTTCAAAGATCAGACATTGAAATGTTTGGAGTCAGCAGAAGAGGGAAGTTTGAAGAATCAAACAAGGACTAATCAAGATCCATCGGCAGAGCAGGAGGCTCAGAACGAAGGCCATTAGGAGTACCATTGGGGATTGGGCGACCATTGCTGGCGATCTGAGAGGTCCGACGACTGAGAGTATTACCATTAGTTTGGGGTCCGTTGGGGGGCAGATCGCCGGCCAACTTGGCGTGGATGAACTCGGTGATCTTGTCCCACTCTGATCGCAAGATCTGGCTCGGCCTGAACTTGTCTACACACACACAGTCGGGCGAGATGACAGATACATTTTGAGTCTCGAAAGAATCCGTACCCAGGAAACAGGACACCCTGGTCATCGTGTTACACAATCCAAAAACGGGGTTATCACATACCAGATACGCTGACTTTTCCGTAAGAATACTCCTTGGCCGTGTTTTGGATCTTCGCTCGATCTTCCTCAGTCGAACCTAAGAATCCAGCTGATATCTACCAAAACCAAACATCACACCCGTCAGTTTGAAATCATTGATGCGGCTGATGGCGGCTCATTTCCCCGCACAATCTTATCCATTCAAAAAGAAAGAAAAAAAACACTGACCGCCCTATGCCAGTTGCAGTCGTTCGGAAACACAAGAGGAGGCTGCCTGGAACTAGGGATGTGGACCGAGGCCTTCAACTTATCAGAGAAGTCTACCAAAAAAAAATCAATCCCGATGGGTTTCAGCTTCAGAAATTTTATAAGCTTCCTCCCATAAATTAATCAGAATGCGAGGATAAAAGGCACGGTGGAAGAATTGAAAAAAGGGGTTTTCTGATTAGAAAATTGACCTTTGATATCAAAGAGCACAGGAAGCGCAGCACAGCCTTCTCCCAAACAGATCAGTATGAGATTTTGACAATCGGACAATCTGGCAGTTCGAAGACCCAAACATCAGTTCCCCCAAAGCAAATTTCTGGCGGTGATTCAACCTGTCTTTTCAACACTGGACTGACGAGATAAATTGGTTCCATATCCAATTAACCATCCTTTTGACCGTCTTCGCTTGCTCGGCTTTCTTCGCCTGGCGGTTAACAATTTGTAGTAAGATTATTTGGATCAGAGAGACGAAAGTTCGATTGGGAAGTTCCTTGAGAATTTTTTTGCGAGGGAGGGGAAAGTGCTCACCATTCCGTCGAGGACCAGGTCTGAGAGATACGAGGGCAAGACTTGGACGTCGATCAGTCCGTATCCATTCTTCCGGATCCAGTCCATCAGAACCTTGTTGTATGCGATCTGTAATCCACTTGAAATCAATCAATCAGTCTGAAATCGCTCATCTAGCTATGTGAAAGAACCGATGCCCACTCACGAGTGCTTCATTTTCGTCTTTCAGGTTCGCCGATTCCGTGAAGATTTCATTCCGGAGGCTTCCTCTGTTATGACCGTCCATCCCAGCGACTTTCAGGAAATGTTTATGTCTATGTACCTCCTCAAACAAATAAAATGACTTACAGATCGTGCATGAACAAGACTAGAGTTTTGCAGTCATAAACATTATCTCTACAAAAAGAGAACCCATTAGTTGCCGGGTAAAAGTATTTACGCCAGAATGAATACCGAAGCTTACGTGACCATGATTTGATTCTGGTAAGATTTTGAGAGGCCAGAAGATTGTTGGTCATGGGATGGAATGGTACACAGTCCATGAGCTTCGTATAGATCATATGAGCGATGCATTTTGAGAACATCTGAGGGAACCAAAGAAACCATTTTATGAGCCGCTGAGTGTTATGAGGCTTTGCAGTGACAACGTGAACGCTTACCCCCGAGAGGAATGCTGAGTCCATCCATCTCAAGCTCTGATAATGGAATGTAACGGGAGGATTAACAGGGGGTCTGGAAGGTGGTAGTATTTGGGAGACTCATGGCTGTAGGGATCAACGTACCATACTTAGCAGAGAGTCCCTGTCGAGGCAGTGATTTCCAAAACGCTGATTGAATTTTCAAGCACTCGTCTACGGTCTCTGTTGCTACATCACTAGCAACCATTGCACAGCCCAGCTTGGGTGGTGCTTCACCCATCAAGACTTTGATGCACTCAGTAGCTGATAATGCCAGAGATTCCAGGTGATAACCACCCTAACGAGAAGCGAGTAGATCAGCTTATCATTCAACTACTGTATATCAAAAAGACGAGAAGAAAGATTAATGTGTTACCTCAAGTGCAAGTACGGTCTTTCCGCTTGCCAGTGACGTTAGCATGTGAGTCATGTGAGCAAATCCCTCAGGTGTGACGTTACATTCCCCCAATGGGTCATTCTTGGCCGCATCAAATCCGGCGGAAACTGTAAGAAATTTGAAAATAAGTCTGCAAAGGTGGAAAATTGTAGTGATCAGTCACAATGATATAAAGCCCATACCGATGACAAAGTCCGGGTCAAATTCCATGGCTATGGGCATGACGAGACGTTGGAAAGCGTAGATGTAATCGGCGTCGCACATTCCGCCCTCCGGCCAAGGAATATTGACATTGCTAAGATTTTATCAAGAAATACGATAGTGAGTTGATGTCGTAGACTGCTCATCGGGCGCCAAAAGTCGGTTGAGTTAAGCACACTGACAAGCCTTGACCATCACCGTCTCCCACTCGATTGCTGCCTCCCCAATCGGTCCCCGGGTAGAAGTATTCACTCCGATTTTCTTGTAGGAACCGGTGGATAGAGATATACAAAACACTCGAATCATAGTAGAAGGACCGCTGAATTCCGTTTCCTGAAGCATCAAGAGCCCAGAAGAATCGCAATTCGTACTCATTTAAGCCCAGGATATTCTCTCTGAAAATTTAGATCATTCCATGAGCTTGGAAGGATGCAAGCCAACTTACCATGATGCACATCCCTAATATGAAGAAACCCGCAGGAGTTTGATCAAAAATTCAGATTGATAGGATTGCATGTGGATTTGAAATGGTGTAATTTGACTGACCAATCTACCAGCAGCACTTTCTTCACTTTATCAGGATAAACCGTTCTGAGCCATTTAGCCGAGATGGCGGCATTATTAAAGACACAGAAACCCGAAGGGTCTTCAGGTTCAGAATGGTGTCCAGGGGGTCGGACGACGGCAAAGCCATTCTTAATTTTCCCGTCCATCACCGCGCGACACATCTCGATCACTCCTCCACAGGATAGTCGGGCACAATCAAACGTGTCTCCATTCACGTAGAGCGACAGACGCGTAAAATACGCGGAGCGATCTTTTAGATCTTGTAGCGACATTGCTGGGACATATCAAAGGCAAATAAATGTAAAAACGGGTTTAGTTATTGGATTCATAATTTCTACATTATCCGAACAGTCGACATTCAGCAGGACACATGCTTTAAATCGGACAGGGAGGAAATTCTTACAACCCGTGAAAAAGCCGTACATTCTATTGAAGGATGAGGAAAAAGATTGACAGGAACGGAAAATTTCACGAGAATAGAATGACAGTCTTCAAGTGATGTTCGCGCATGACTTACTTGCAGTTTCCTCTATTCGTTTCCAATGTCCCTCGCTATGAACCAACATGATCTCTTCCTTGGTAGCCTTTCGAATTTTGATGTGCTCCAAATTATCGGTCAATTTTTGCTCTTCAATGATAATTGTTCATATTGAAGGAAGTGATTCAAGATTGTTATGCGTAGAAATAGGAAGGAGGTCCAAATCAGCAGCTTATCCGTGCAAGTTGTGATATTGAAATTTGGACGAATTCTTCTGGGGTGATTTTGGCATGAGATGATGGGGCCAACGAGGGAAAACAAATGATGAAATAGAGGGCTCCTCAACTTGAAACATGCGCAATAATCCTAGCGATTCTGGAGGGCCGTTCGGGTTCTTCATTCTCGTCGTCCTGATCCTTTATCGTATCGAACTGGACGTCAGGCTTCCAATGTTTGAGCATCTGCTGAGAATGACAGATCCCAGTGCGGGATGGCCTGGACAATGAAGTGGACGGAGGGGCATGGTGAGGATTCGAGGTGAATGTTCCGTTCTGCTTCTCGTGGGCCATACTGTGCAGCTGGGTATTCTTGATGGGTTGGTAATCGTTCTGGGTTAGTTTTCGAGGAGGCTGTTCAAGGAAATCAGGATGGATCCGCTCTGGCCTCGGTTGCAGCTCGACTGGGCCCTGGGGCTGGAGCCCCTTAGCCCGCCGTTCCCACTAACAAAGGGGGCACCGCCAGCGCATCCGCAGCCCGGCTTCACCACATAAAAGCATCTCCACCGCGGGCCCTATATCAGGCGAGCATAACAACGCCTCTCGAGTGAGAGCCCCAAAGGGGCAGCCCCGCAGGGTCTCTGTCTCACAGAGAGGCATACCCCCAACGGTCGAATTTCGGTGTGGATCCCGGCATTTCTTAGGCCCCAGAATAGTCTACTTTCCACTCAAATCAAATTCCCCACGCGAAAAATTAAGATATTTTTACTGGGAGTGATGGACCATGGAGGCTGGCTTCTGGCGCATCCATCGATGGCTCACTCATGCATCTGTCCCTCATGATGAAGACTGGCCGCTGTCTCTAAAAAGGTCTTTGATCGGTTTGACCATCTGTTAAGTATGCACTCACGGTGGCATTAGGCACTCATACAATCTTGTATCCTGCTTGTACTTAGTGAAACACATGAAATACCGGAATACAAGACTGTACACATTATCATCACTTCAAAAATACAACAGCCATCTTATAATGGAAATAACCAAATAACAGACAGCCCTGTCCGATTATTTGGTCCATCAGTGGACTTTCATGATCATGTTTGATAGGCTATCAGGTTTCTTGTTGAGGACAAATCACCCTTCGTTCCCCTCAACCAGCTGCACATCTCAACATGCTCCGACGTCTGGCTGCACCGGCTATTTCCGACCCCCAAGGGACTGGGATCCGAATTGGACTGCTGAAGAAGATTGAGATGAAGGGCGATGATGCAATGATGGCCGCTATTGGCAAGTCGGCTTTCGATCGTTACGGTCAACACGCGAGGGAGCAACAGGTTACGGCAGTTTTCCACTTGGCACGCGGGAAAAATACGTTCTTACTCGCGGGGACTGGTTTTGGGAAATCTAGGATACCTGAGATATACCACACTCTCTTACCCAAATCGGCCAATGGGGTGATACTTGTATGGAACCCACTGGATGCACTAGGTGACAACCAGGTGCTGGAAAAGAAGAAAGCCGGGTTCTCAGCAATCAACCTCACCAAATTGACATTCAATGTGGAAGAAGCAAACAATGTAGTCAATGGGAATTACAATTTCGTGTACCTCAGCCCCAAGATTTTCCTGAACTCTCGCCTGTGGGATCAGGTCTACTTCTGCCCAAACTTTCAAAACCGCCTGGCTTTGGTCGTGATCGATGAAGCTCATATCATATATCAATGGGGTCTCGTCGAATCTTCTAGCGGGAAGGACAAAGCGGTTGCACTTGGCCGCATTGAAGACATAGCGATTTTCAGGCCTTGTTATGGGAAGATGGGTGGTCGGCTTCTGACTCGTAATGGCAAACCGATCTTATTGATGTCCGCTACTTGCCGGCCGATTGCCGTGGAAGCAATCAAAAAGAGCTTGAAATTTGAGGACCATAATGTGTGTGTGGTGAGGGCGGAACTCACCAGACCGGAGATTCGCATCGTTCGGGTCCCAATAACGTCTTCAATGGCCGCTTGCACCGAGTTGGTTCATTGGTTTGCACTCCAATCGGACGTGCCGAATGAAAAGGTTGTTCCGACTTTGATATATAGTTCTACTAGAAACCGGACCTTGCAGGTGATGAAGGTTGTTGACGATGCTCGCGGGACACCTGGAAGTTCAATGAGGCCAAATGCGATGCTGGTCCGGCGATTCCACTCGTGCACTGGCGAGAAAGATAAATTGAGGGTTGTGGAGGATTTCGCTGCGGGGATATTTCCGATGATATCATGTACGATGGCTCTCGGGATGGGTCAAAACTGGTCTTGAGTGCGTCGGGTGTTCCAGTTGGGGCGCGGTGATCCATCAGCAATATGTCAGATGGTTGGACGGGCAGGGCGAGATGGCCGACCGGGTTTAGCAATATTGTTTGTGGAGAAGACACGGAAGGGGGGGAAGAATAAAGTGGCAGCGTTCGACTGGTCAAAGAAGGCTGGGGAGAATGACCGAATGGACGCCTTGGCGGTAACACCTGTGTGTCTGAGGATAGCTTTTGCTATTGATAATGCGTGAGTGTTTGATTTTATCATGGTTGTGAGGTGGTATGTTGATTCAGGATACTGACACTGATCGGGTGTGTTGCTCAGACTTGGTTACATACCAGTATCTATCAACGATCCATCGTACATATGAGAACAAGAACGGGAGAAAAAGGAGGGATTTTGTATTTGCAGTTGTTCTAATTGTAGGCCCGATATGGCTGCCGGTTTGATTAACAACATGAAAGAGATGACGGTAGACAACTTTGAAGATTTCATTACTCGCGAATGGACCACAGAAGAGATGAAGAACATGAGAAAACGAAAACGAGTAGACAACGAGACAATCACAAGTGTTAAACATATCAAACTCATGCCTGATCAGCGTCTTGTGTTATCAGAGGTTCTACGGAACGGATTTGACCAATTGTTCGCCCGCACTTACAGAAACCAAATCCTTTTCGGTCCGGATGATCTTTTTCGTCACGAACATATCACGACATTAATCGAAAACTTGGGTACTTTCAAAACAGTGACCGAATTGCGAAAGCTCATCGGCGGCGAAGTTATAGCAGGACAGATGGAAATGTTGTTGGAGGCCGTTGACGGTTATATCAAGGGCCCGCTGGCTGAAGATACACAACGGGGGATTGATCTTGCGCGGGCTGAGGAAGAGAGGCTGATTTCAATATCGAAGGAAGAAGCGGAGGCTCAGGCTCGTGATGAGGAAGTTCAGAGGGAGGTGGCACGGTTGGAATTCCAGAGGATTGAAGAACAAAGGCTGTTGGATTTGGCGAAACGATCGGCGAGGGAAGCTGCTGAGAAAGCATGGAAGGAGGAACAGGCTGAACACATGGCCATGCTGGTGCGCCGGGCCGGTGAGGATGCCGAGAGGCGGGGAGTGAAAAGTATACATCGGGGACGTTGATGGGTGAATTCAGATGTAAGTTCAATCTTCATCCATTGAATATTGGCTGGGGGAACCGGATCGAATGGATGGTGATTTGTTTGGTTCTCCTTTGGGTTCAGCTTGATCCTCGGGATCGCTAGGATAAGATTCACACTGCTCATCAAATGGGAGATGCATGGTAAACCGACCTAGTTCATTCGCTTTGGTGGAAATCTCTTCCTGTAACAAAATAAGACCCTGAATGTACGTATTCTTGATTTCGACTGGGGCAGGAGCGCCGGAACTGGAGTTGATGGTGAGGATGCCATTCGGTTGGGCCATCTGTTGAAATCTTTCGAGTCCTCGGAGGGTGAGCAACGGTTTATGGCTCTGTTGGATATGTTTAGCTCCACTGTCCAATCGCAAAGAATCAAACATAGTCCGCAACTGTTTGTATATGCAATAATCAGAACCCTCTGGGAAATTACAGATGAGCAACCAACGACTTACAGTAGGAATGTTTGACAAGAAATAGGCTTGCAGCCGATCAATCTGAGTCCCTATGCCGCCTCGTGTGTAGAAATATTTGAGCCAGTAGTTATGAGTCTCCAACAGGAAGTCTTTCGCAACGAAGTGGTTAGGTCGACCGCTTGGAGACACCAAAATGCTGTGGCAAATCAGCTTGCCCAAAGACGGTGGGAGTATCTTGGTGAGCAAGAGGATGAGCCTGGGCAGGTAAGCCGAATAATGAGTGAGTCCGGGAAGCGATTGGGTCATGATCGACCACATCTTCCACACATTTATCAACCGTCCTATATCACCTCTTTTCATGGCTCTGTTTGCCTCTATGACCGTTGAGAAGTCTTGGAGTCGTGTGAGCAGATTGCTCAACTTGGGGAATCCTCGCGCCGCCCGTCGGGCCTCATGTGAGAAGAATCGGTCATAGCACTTGTCCACCATATCATTCCATTTGGCCGTTGGAATGATAGGTAACTCCTCTTGGATGACAGTGTCATGATGACCCATCACATCCCTACAACCCAACGCGGTCAGAAGACATAATCAATATACTCTAGGGAGTAAGAATAAACGTACCTAAGGCAGTACCACAATGTTGCTTCATGTACTTGTTCCATGTACTGCAGCATTTTTGTGAAATCTTTCTTCTGCGCAACCTTTTCCGGTGGTATCCCAAGTGCCTCCAAGTATCTCCACACTCCTAGGTTGTCCATCGAACCTGAGTTCCCAAAGTGATAGGTCAGTATGGTGTGCGCGATATTCCACAATGTATGAGCCGCCCCCAAAGTGAAAGAGATGTTGTTGAGGCTGTGATCGCAGTGTTCACTAGGGGACCGGAGTACTCGGATAGCGTTAAATATCTGCGCCGTCCCAAGGTCCCCATCAATAAGCTGTAATCGACCAAAGAAGTCAGCGGGATCGAGCCGTGTCTGGTGCTGTAGGGCATCCATGACCTGTCCGATTCCCTTGGCCGAGTTGTCAGACTCGTTCATGAGCTTCAGCATGTGGATTTCGGGCTTCTTATGACTGATCAGCTCGACTTCGGGTGGGTGCAACGGGTGTCTGCCTTTAGGATGAGAAGGCCGGGCAACATACTTGTACATAACTTGCGCGATCTGGCTCTTCACCACTAGCTTGTGATGCTCCTGGTCGTCATCGTTTGGCAGAAAAAAATTTGGATCAATCACCAAGGAGCTGACATTTTTGAGGGCATTGTGGTAGGCACTCAATGTGAGATCGTTCGGGTTGAGGGAATTCATTAGGTCGCTGCTGGGTATATTTATGTATCCCCAGGTCCCATGGAACATCCGATTCTGTTTGCCTACAGTAGCAATCTGAATCCTCTCTTCCATGTCCAAGTTGTCGATACAAAGGATCGGAGCCACATCAGTTGAAATAGCCATGCACGATGCAATCTTATCCTGTGCTTCACAGGCCAATGATCGTAGCGCGTGAACAGCCGTTTTTCGATGCGAGGTTAAACCCAAGTAGTGAAGATACTCGTTGACCGTCTCCGAAACCCCACACGCATAGAATCGAATGGAATTCTCCAGTTGTAATCCATTATGGCGGCGATTACAAGCAAAGCTAAGCATTGAACATATCACCGAAGCGATCTAAGATCCATTGGCCATCAGGGTCCCTCATACATACAAGTCTTATTCAGGAAAGTATTAAATACAAACAGGACTGGACTCACGTGACATCTTTGTTTCTTTCTCGCATCGGGTCCATTACCATCCGTTGAGTAAACAAACCCGCCGTAATCAGCCATCACATCCTCTAATGACCCTGAGCACGAGTTCAAGGACACCTCGGGTTCCATTTCGTCCACCCCATTGGCTCATTCCGTTCGGCTGGTCCCAGTAATGACTGGGTCGTTATTCCCACGGAGGTCATCGGGTGCATCGCAAGGTTTGTTCATGTCATCCGTATTATTACCCCCGAGGTCGTCAGGTCCATCGCAAACTTCATTAGTGTCGCCATCCTCTTCGTCCGCACAAGATATGATTCCATGGATGATGTTGTACAGCAAGGGCCTTTCAATGGTCGTAAGTTTGAGATTACGAGCATGCTTCGCATCAGGACCGAAAAAATCCCGCTTCACCAATCAAGAGCTCATGAATGAGCCTGTCGTCCGTGAAGACATCTCCTGCCGACATAATAAGACGGCCTGCAATGTACAATGCGTGTAAATACCTGAGTTTGAAAGTCTTACAAGTGGAAAAGATACTCACCTCGGCCTGAATAAAATCGACCCACCGATGACGCGCGGCATCTTTCTTGCGGAAGATCTTAGCTATTTCCAAAACCAATTCAATTGTCGAATTGGATCCATAAATTGTTCCCCAGGTTCGTCGCCGGTAGTTCAATTCCATGTGATCTTTCTTGAGAAAACCCGTGATAAATTCCTTAGGTGTCATCTTGATCTTGGTTAAGTGGGCGCATATATCAAGAATTTTTTGTTGGTCCGACATCTTTGGTGCATTTGGAAAGTCAAGGGGATCTGGTAAGCCAATCCCAGTTGTGTCAGGTGCATCTCGTGGGCAACTCATTTGGGATTTTGAAAGGGTCGATTAGAACAGTTGATGATAGGAGACCGTACCGGATGTGATATCTCTTTTTGCACTTGGTGATGTTGTGTCATATGCAAATCCCTTCACCCGAACATTTGGAAGATTATTTATCTTTGTCATGCATGTATATGCACTTGGTAGTGCCACAGTATGTCTTCATGCACTTAACATGAAGGCCATGCACTTATGAAGAATATATGGATATATCAATTAGTCCAAAATGGAAAAGACCGTGAACTTACATCCCCTGCAGATGACTGAAAAAAATTCAGTCATAATAAGGGGTATGTTATCTGCAAGGCCAGATGCCCAGCTTTGATCTGGCCAAAGGGCGGGCCATTTGGCCCGCAGGATGATGATGCGAGGTGGTGTCAAAGTGTGACACCAGCCAAAAATGCAAATGGCGTGCTCATGATCCATGCCAAATTGGGTTGATTATTCCCAAGTCCCTCCTTCGGAGGCTCGCGCTTCGCGCGAGGGGCGCTGCCCCGCCTCCCAGAAGGTGGGACTGATTAAGTTTGTATATCAGGTCCCTATCCCACGTATGGGGACCGCGAGGCCCAAAACCACAGCCGCCGCGGCCCTGTAATCGAGCGTAACAAAGCCCGCAAGCATCCTGTCCAGAATCTGCTTGGTTCAGTTTCCTCCCGGTATCATTTGTAGCTTTTCTATCTTTTTTTGAAATCAGTCACTTCTCGTAACTTTCTCGGTCCGTTAATGTTTTCTCTATCAGCCAATTAAATTTTTAATTTGGCAATCCACACCGTTGAGAAATAATGCCATACCCTTACATGAAATGGAACACATGTGAAAGATTTACTGGGCATGAACATTGGAAAAAAAGAGACGGGCTTTGAAAAAAAAGCACTCTGAAAAAAGGCATGGCCTTGCTAGTCAGCGACCACGGAAAATCATGAAACTCAAAGTTTCATGAATTTATTTTATCATGAGGGGGATACATATATAAGGTTCTGAATTGACAGTTTGACAAAGAAAAATACAAGATTTAAACTATGAATAAAAAAAACTCCTTCAAAATAAGGGCTGCAGGTGCTCACAACATCAACTGCCACCAAAGCTTGCAGATTCCCTCAAGCCAAACCCCTTCATTATTCCTAAGTCCTCTCCCTGCGGGAGAGTCCTTGGTGCATGCACACTCAACAAGCGGCTACAGTGCCCCACAAGGCAGCAGTTACATGGTCTTTTGTTAAGTTTGCCCTGTAATAGGGATGATGGTCAAAAGTCCCTATCAAGCTGTAAGTATACAGCTCAATAGGGCCTGGCTGATTGACCCTATGCTGTGTGAAACTTCCAACATTGGAAGGTTTCACACATCCTCACACACACCACAACTCCTACCAATTGGCTGTCACTGACACCAACCTGAACTTTAAGGCCAATACACCTGCTAGCAGTAAGCAGTGGAAGAAAAATTGGCTTGGTTGTTATCCAAGATTTTTGGTCCCTATTGGAGGCATATAGGTGTTGGGATAGACAGTATGCTTATATCTGATACAGTATGCCTCAACTATAGTTATTCATTATGCTTTGTACTTAGTTCATCTGTTCTCCAATCCAGGAGCTCACTCCTTACTGACAAGACATCAGTCTGTGAACTTCGTTCCTGTTAAAATTAACAATGCATTTTGCAGACAGTTAGCATAAAATGATTGACTTGGGCAGGATTTGAACCAGCAACCTTAGCTTGAAGCTAAGACACTATACTAGAAGTGCTGCCTTTACCAACTAGGCTACCAAGTCCATGGCTGACACCACGGACAATTGCATGTCGCTCCCGCGCGGAGCGACATCTGGGGGTTTCATTGGGGGTTTCGTGCGCAGTCACTGCGCCTACTGCCGCAGTCACGCACGCGGATTCGTCAAGGTGACGGTTACATCCGCGGCGACACGCAAATGACCGTGGTGTGATGTGCTGATATTAGAACACTGTGGATTACAGAATTTCAACAGTTCCTTGCGACCCCTGTCCCCTGCAACAATAGGGCCCATGGTGAAGATGCTCTAACAAGCTAAGGCCCCGTTTGGCTACCCCATTATTTGTGATTTGGGTGACCCCCATGATACAAATTGGGCCCCCAAAACCTGATTGTCACACTAAATTTGGGATGTCTGATCAGCCCCCTGGGGAAAACCCCCTGACAAATCACAAATACTAGGGGGGCCAAGCGGGGCCTAACATGGACCCAGCTATGGAATAAAGATTGATCAAAGAAACCTTCCACTTTGCATTTATCAGTTTTTGAGAGGTTTCTGAGTAGATTTGCTGGTTTAATTCTGGTGATTTTGCTACCAATTTTTCACATTTAACATCCTCTCATTCCAAAAATCACTCTTAAGAAATATCCAACTGAGTTTGTTTCATGAAAAAATTACCACCAGCCAAAATATCTCCAGAGTCCAAAGAGCCACAAGTGGTCAGCTTGAGTGACCAACCTACTTGCATCCCCTGGAAATTCCACATACTTTAACTTATACTATGTCTCTCCCTCCGGTGCAATAGAATAGTGAGACACTCCCCATTGCCTTATAGCCTATCTCAATTATGACTGGCAGTGGAAGTCATTCTCAAATATAAATCACATTTGACCCTTATTGTGGAACCAAAAGAAATTATCATCATTTTCAAAGTCTTGGAAAAGAAATCTTCTGTGGAATCACACATGATTCAAATTATACAATTCAGAAAAAATGAAGTTGAATGAATTACGTATAGAGGTCCACAATTTTGTGAAAAATTGAGAATCAGTCTAATATCAACAGTGTGAATTGATGCTTCAGAATTATAATCGGGATGGGTGTCCATTGGCCCATGGAACAGAAACAATTTTCATGTAAAATCAAGAATTTGGCTTGGTCTGTCAATGTTGCTAAGAGGTGTGGGTGGTCACAGGCAATCCAGTGGGGTCATGTGGACCTGGCCAATCCAATCTGTCAGCTGCAGATACCCCAGATTACCTAGATGGCTGACCTTATTACACACTGCTGAGGATACCCAGCCTCTTCTATGGCATACAAATCAGCCCTTTCCACCGGGGTATGTTTCCTGGATGACTACCATTGTTGCCCCAATGGAGATTCTGTCAAGGCCCCCCTTGTGCGCACTAAAGACTGGATGTTTGAGGAAACATTTTTTTCTTTTTCTCAATTATAACTTGTTTTTTCTGTGCCTCTAAGCTCATGTCACTGGTCAGTTATGTATGAAATAAATAAAAAAACCAATCTTCCCTTTCTTCTTTGGCCTGAGGGTCACCTACATGTAGCCCACATTGCCCACATATCCTCAAGCCTTCCAGCACTTTCTGTGTTTAACCTATTGACTTGTAGACACAGGTTTGGGATGCACATAATATTGGGGGGGGGGGGGTTTGACCCAGCCCGGCCTGTCCAGAATTGAAGTGGGTTGAGCCAGTATAGCCGGCAGGCAGCCCAAATTCACCCAATTATCATCCTTAGTGATGTTACAATAATCTACATTCTAGTGTATTGTATTGGACTGCATTGGCAATTGCCCCCCCTGCCAGCTTTGTCAATGTTTTTTGTCTCTTTTTCTAGTGTTATGATTGGATGTAAATAATGGCTCAATGTTTCCAAAACGGAGAAGAATCAAGTTTGAATCTTTGGTTTGAAATAATGAATATTTGCCTTTGAGAAAAAGTTTGTATTTGGGACAGAAGTTCTTCATTTGTAGGGGCCCTGCACAGAACAACCCGCTCCAACTTGATAAAAGAAGGACATTATTTAAGTTACACTAGATGTTTCTCTGATGCTTCAAAATTCCAAATGTGAAAGAAATGATAGCAAAATTGAGTACTGCAAATATAATACAATGTTTAGCATATCTTTTTAGTAACTATCCAGCATTACTAGATAAATTTTTACTTCTGCTGGGACCATTGTATTTTGTGTGGGACTTGTTGTAGCAGGAGCATCTCCCCTCTTGAAATGGCAAATGTGGAGTAAATATTGGAATAAACATTTTTCAAATTCAATAAAGGTCACAAAAGTGCTAGAGTCTGTAGAGAGTCCTCAATATATTTGAAGCATCCACTTTTTGAAATATTGTGAGAGCAACAAATACAAATGCGACTATGCTAGCATGATTAATCTCATAGTTAACTAGCTCTAGGAAAAGGATCGGGGCCAGTGGGTAAGAAGTTGATAGCTCACTAATCCTCACGCCCAAATGTTGTAAGAGTCAAATGCACTCTTCACTGCCGTCGGACGGAACAAGAAAAGACTAAAATTCTTGGAGAGAAATTCTGGAACCTGAGGTTGTTTTGCTAGCACGGTAGAAGATGGTTGTTGTTCTATCTGTGAGTAAAATGATCTGAAGTATAGAAATAATGAAGGAAGTGAAGATGAAAAAAATGAAATGAAAGATACTCACCTAGCACGGTAGAAGATGGTCGTTGTTCTCTACCGAGCTAGGAGAGAGGAGGAGCAAAGGAAGATTATAACTTGAGTCGAAATTCAGTCTGTGATATGTTGGTGCTAGTTTTGTGAAACCAGAGTCGGTGCGGGTTTCACAAACGTAGCAAGGATTCATCTAGTGACAGGTCCACTGAAAAATGGACAACTGATTAGAAAACGGACCAATTTGTTCCTGTCCGAAAAAAATAATACAATCAGCAAAACCTCCAAATTGTGCGACTTGAAGATGGGTCCAGAGACGTGAGCAGATGGAGGGTATGGAACGACACAGAATACACATGTTCGGCTGGCTGCGTTGATGATGCGGAGAAGAAGAGCAAGACTTTTCTTGAGTAAATGGGCGCCGGGTTCTCGAGCCAGAAGGCGAGTCTTCCCTACTTAACTAAGTCCCTCCAAGAAGGGGACTTAGCTAAGTCAGAGTCTTCCAGGCCACTAAGACTGGAGCTGTCAACTGTGTCCACCATCTTCTTTGGTATCGGTTTCGCGAGACTTTGTACAATCCGGGTTGCCGGCCTCCTCCTGATCCTCCCTGTTGATAATCCTCCGCGTCGGACGCGGATACCTTCGAGCTCGTTTGGTTAGACCATCTCCACCGCAAGTTGCTATCCGAGCTGCCAAATCTCGAAGTTCGGCAACTGCGGCGCGTTTTTAGCAGCTTGCGTCCAGTTCGTATTACACCGCAAGTTGCTATAATAGCAACTGGGGAATGTGAAAGGTCCCCCCTGGGGCAAGACTGCACTCAGAGTCAATATTGGCCGGTATCGGTCCTCTTTCTCTAGTGACCGGTACCGACCATGGAGAGTGTATACTATCCTGACCGGTACCATCCAAGAAGATGTACACTCTGGGCTCTCCATCAACTGGTGCAACTGGTACCGGTCACTTCTCTAGTGACCAGTAACCGGTATCGGTCTTAGACTCTGATGTGACTGATACCGGTACTTTACAGGACACCTTTGTTTTTGACTGGTATCGGTCTTTGAGAGAGTGTACACTCTAGTGACTGATACCGGTCCTTGGGAGTGTACATAGTGACCGATACCGGTCTCTTGAGAGGTACTTTTCATTTTCTAGTGACCGGTACCGGTCATTGAGAGTGTATGTACGGTCTCTCGAGTCTGGGGGTTGCGTGTCTTGCTGTGTCGGGGGATATGGGGGAGGGGATGGATGCGAGAATCACAAGGATTCTTTGTGATACTCGCAAGGTTGAGCTGCTATCCTGATTCTATATTTGGTATCGGGATAGCAGCCGAGAGGCGGGTTGCTAAACTTTTTGAGTGTTTAGCAGCCCCGGTGGAGCTGCTAAATCAAGTTTGCGCTGCTATAATTGGTTTGGCAGCGCGGTTTAGCAGCCGCGGTGGAGATGGTCTTAGCTGTATTGTAGACGTCTGTGAGGTCGCGGTTTTGTTCCCGCACAATCGACGCGCCGACAATGTCCCGAGTGAGAGCCCCGCATTTCCCCGCACCCGTAGGGTCAGATCATTCGGGAGGCTCCCGATCCCAGATCGACACAGAATGACGGTGGGTCGTGCTGGTTCAGGGTTCGAGTAGGTATGGAGAGGCTTTCAACTGCTGCTGCATCCAATCAGCCTTCAATTTCGCATCCAAAATCCCCCACATCTGAAGGCTTCGCCAGCTGGGCTTCTATACATTCTGAAGACCTTCGGGCTGGATCCTGAACTTGGTTGATGTCCAAATAAATTAGCTATGTATCTGTCTCTGCTTCAAGGGCGAACGTAGGTAGCTGTCTGGCTTGAATTCATGTGCAGATAAAAACTCATGTTGTAGACTGAAGTTATCAGTGTCATTTCCAACAACTCAAGGAGTCATGTACATCGTGCAACGATTTTGCAGTAGGACAGATAAGCTCGGTGAAGAGCAATTGATATGATTCAAGCAGGAATCTAATTGTTGTATGCACCTTCCTCAAGGCAGCCGGCCTGAACGGGCGCTGCTAACTTAATCCAGCAAGCAAATTGACTCAAGGACAAGGTTATTAACGATGAATGAAAAAAATAAATTTCAAGAAGCATATCGAGCATATGAGGGTACAAGATTTTGGGCATAGCAAAAAGACATCTGGTGAAGAGAGTAAATAATATAATCCTTGGTCGATCTATGGAAGCTCTCAATCAATTCTCTTTCCTGAAGTTATGTCTAGATGGAAGGTAGAGAGTACAAAAAACTTACTAAAATTCAATTTGGTCTTTGCATTCTGAGCCCAAATAGGCTGAGGCGCCTGCTGTTGGCGTAAGGCTGGGTTCGTCTACTTCGCCTGGCTTGCTGTGCTTGTGCGGCTTGCCTGGGTTGAGCCTGAGGAGGTCGTGGCATTCGGCGCGGGGTGTGCCGACGTGCCCTCCTGGGCAATACCACTTGGGAAGCTGCAGTGGGCCTGGGAAGGGTACCTCGCTGTTGCGCAGGTACCATGTCGTCACGGCCGATGAGGGTGAGGACCCTAGGGTGGCGAATTCCTCCGGGGTGAGCAGTGGGACATGAAAACCACGAGGCCCTCAGGTCATGGAGGGTAGACATCTTCGCTTGAGGTTCTACAAAAGGGAGCTTCTCTCCTTTTGGCCGGTGCTTGGCCCGAAGGGTGGCAACCGACTCGTCAGGGGAAGAAGTTGCTGCTGGGGTCTGAACAGGAGCTGCTTGCCGGGTCTGAACAGGAGCTGCTTGCGCGGTCTGGTCAGGAGCTACTTGCGGGGTCTGGGCAAGGGCTGATTGTGGGGTCGGAGCAGGAGCTGCTTGTGGGATTGGAGCAGTCGCATCCTGAACAAGAGGGGCATTCCATGCCTCATGGAAAGAGAGTGCTGGTGGGTTGCGTGCATGAGCTTCTCGGCGGGCGCGATGACGTTCTGAACGGCTGGGGCGTGCTGGCTGCTGTTGGGATTCAGATCTGCGCGCGCCCATGTAGATGTCGAACATCTCTATGAAATTTCCGGATAAATTCGACCATTAGTGTTGAAATCATATGCCAATTAGAAAGGCTGCTTCGGACTTACCCATTATAGCTTTATGATCCATTTCAGCTTTTTTTGGAAGGTTGAATTTGCTTTCTACTACAGAAGTACAAATTGATGAGGCGGGGTAAGAAGAAGCAAGCAGGAATCAATGACACTGATAGCTTGCAGTGGTGGTACTGACTGGTGGTGGGTAGGAGAGAGCCGATGTAGAGAGGGAGTTTTACTAGCTTACCTGTGAGGCTTAGGTTGCGGAGGGGGAGAAGGAAGGTTTTTGTGGAGGAGGGTGAAGAAGGGATGTTGGGGACTTTCGAGGGAATTGGATCGCTATATATATAGTGAACTTATCCGCTGAGCCAGCTGCGTCCCCCCTAGCAGCACGAGGCTCAGCATCGGATTCCTGCCGAGGAGGGTTGAGGCTCAGCGACCATCAGCAGTTGAGCTTTAGAATCGTGATCCTTTGTGCAGATTAGATACGTATAGTAGCAGCTGAGCCGTGGACAAAGGCACTCCATAACAGTCGAACACGACCTGGACAAGGGCAATAAATTGAACTACAGAACAAACTGGACCAAGGCTACTGATATGAGCACTACAGGTCATGAAATCAGTTACTTTGGTGGTTTGTTTAACGTCTTACACTCAAATAGGCCATAACACTCAACCAATGAACACACAACACAGTCAATTGGCTGAGCCTCTAGCAGAGGCTGCGCCATATTTTCTCCGTTAGAGGAACAAGTCTTCAAAATAGAATCTAACAGGCCATCCCAAATGTTGCTTCCACTGATATGTGTCTCGAAGTTACATTGACACTTCAAATGAATTATAACAGAAGAGCTTGGAGAAAGTGGGGGTTTGGATCCATCGCAGTTATTCATCCCTCCGTTGACTGACTCAATGATACCTGATGATTCATTAATAATGGATCAAAAATGGATACGAAAACCTTTCATCTATCCAATTATAACCCCAATCACTCTTGCTCACCCGACCCTTTTTGATTTTGAGGTGCTGCGCTGGGACTACCTAGCATTTCTGGCAGGCCATTATCATTACCAAAATGGAATCTCTTCACAGGATACTTGTGGCAAAACCAAAGGTGTATAACAGTAGTATTTCTGAAAGTAGGTATAGCAATCGATTCAAAAATCAATCACTTGGAAGGGAGTCGAGGTGTGTAATTTTAGTTTTTGTTACCATCATGGCGGGTTTTGTTGTTCCAGTCATGCATTGTGTCTGAAGCCGTTGCAGTCATTTTCATCATCTGGCTTCGTGGACTCTTCAAAAGTTGGGCTTGAGCTGTCAATCATCTGTTTCAATTTTTGATGTTACAAGTACACGGACAGCTTTCTGCAACTGAGATAGGCTTTGATCTTACAAATCACATACACCTTGTCGCAGTGGATCAAGGTTCATCAAAAAAGCAAGTTTTGATGACTTTGAGGGGGCTTTACCAGCCAGTTCCAAAGAACTCCGCTGTTCCAGGTCACTCACTGCGGCTGCATGCAGGATTTTGGCATAGAAGGAGGTACGTTGGTTGACTGTAAAACACAGGAAGAAGGGAGTTTCTTTATTCTTCTGACTTGGTTGAGAACACTGGCTCCCACTCTAGAAAAATTCCTGACTCCTCAACATGGCGCCTCTTTGGTTCCTTTTCTTGGTCGGTATCTTTGTGCCATGTTTGTCTAACATCTGACTGGCTGCCAACTAATACACTGGTTTTTTGATTAGCTTATCGGACACTATGTTGCAATGAAAAAGCCTCATGAGCTGCATCTGAGTCTTGGCTCCCTTGGAGGTTCGAGTCCAGCTGGATATCGAGAGGGCACTTCTCATTTCTTAATTGGAACTCATCAGATCGAGACCAAATCAGACTCAGAATCTTCCATCAACATAACCTGTGACACCAATCGCCTCTTACGCATCTTGGCTCGCGACAATGCACCATACGTGAGTTGCATTCACGGATTCGAGAGCCATTTAGAGTGTTGGTCTGAAGAATCTTGAATCATATGTTTGCGCGTCTTTTCTCAGAATCAAATAAAACGATACGCGGACAAAATGTCTAACGGAGTCAACCCCAGAAAAGATGGTCAAGTTCGAGCGGAAACTGAATTTAGGGGATCCCAGTCCATTCTTGGACCTGTTGCCTGCTGTTTTCAACCATCTCGTGATTGTTTTCTTGCTGCCGTCATTTTCAGTGTGCTAGTCATCGCAGCTGTCATAGTGCTGGCAGCTGTGTTTGCTGCAAAACACAGTAACGAACCGAGCTACACTGGCAATGTTAACTACTTAATAGTGCTATGGAAGTGGAAGGGGCCGTCGTGGATTGTATTGACCAAATCATCAGGATGCTAGTCTGCGCATGCCAGCAACCTCCTTTCGCCGACCAACGAAAACGCAAGGTTTCAAATCAGAGCCGTTTGAATAGGGCAGCTCGAATCCAGAGAATCATAAGCTCAGATTTACGAGTACTTTTCCGATTTCATATACTTGCCTTCTCTTTCCCTTTTGGTCCTTAACATCGTGCATTCACATTGATTTGTTGTAAATAAGTAGTTTCATTTCTCACATCATTTCCTTTTTTTTATTGACTGTCATTTTCCTTCCATCTGATCAGTAGTCTTTTTCTTTAAATTATTTTTCCTGTTTTTTTTTTTTGTTTTCATTTTCTTTTTATCATGTAGCTTTCATTTCATCTCAAATATTTATCTATGTATGTTTGACAGTGTCAATGGTAGTATGCGTAAATTTTCTTAGTCTGAGCCTTGCAAAAAGATGCTCTGCCAGCCATGAGGGACCCCAGACGTTTGCATAAAAGCTAGCCTCTTTGGCACAAGGAACAGGTTCAACTAATGGAAGCCGGTATTGGAGGCTGTCGGCCAATGCTTGAGAGTCCTGGACATTCTGCAATGATGCTCACCAAAAAGTGCACTTGAAACTACTTCAATTGAAGGGATACTAATGCTGAGCCATGGTTCCAGAAACACTCCCCAAACTCCTCTCAACTCTTGCACTGCACATTTATTACGACTTCCACAACATGATTTCCAAAAGAAAAGGCGCTGGGACATAGCAATACATGTGTTTGATCGATCTGGATATATAAGTGAATACTTGTAGTATTGGTCCATGTACCCAGATCCTATGGCCACAACTTACATTCATTGATCTAGTGCATCTGTTGTACCCATCAGCCAAAATGAAAACATTGTGAGTATGTATTAAACAGATGAGCTTTTCATAGACATTAAAACACCTGCCAGCAACTGATCTGTACAGACCTTGACCAAAAGAAAAATTAAAATGTGTTAAACCATTGGCAAGCTCTTACCTCCTAGATACTATTCATGAGGATCCAATCAGTTGTCTGATTGACTTTAAGTGGAAGGTATGCAGCTCAACCTCTCTGTGCCAAAGATTTGTTCAATTTGATCACAGATGGTGGATGAAGATTGCGTCCAGCTCAGCAGATCATCTCCTCGTTCTCACTTATGACATCACCTGAAATGACTATATGTACCCACATAAAACTCTCTTGTTTTGTGAGCACAAAACATGGATTTGAAGAAACAGTAGACCTTATTCAATCTGCACCCCAGGCCCAAGCCCTCTCCCCCACACAGCAAAACCACACCTTGATTCACATTCAAAACAAGGCCTCCTTCAACATTTTTTTTTTTCATGAACACATGATCATACATTGTCATCATACACTCAACAAAATTGGAATAAAAAAAACCGGGTTGACTTCAAATCAATCTAATTTACATGAGGAAAGTGCAGATACACATGTACCAATAGAAAACATGCATTTAACAGGAAGGGAAAAAAAGGTACATAGTACTGTGAGATGAATACCAAACTAAAGAAAAAGAAAAAAAAGAAAGATGCTTGTAAGAGATGGTGAACTAAGAAAGAAATAAATCTTTTGAACCAAACTAACAGTATGTGACCACCAACAACATATTAATTAATTAAAATGAAGGAGATCTTCAGTAAAACAACTCAAGGCCTGATTACATGAAAATGTGTCTCTTCTTGTCAATTTTTGATGAAAAAGTTAAAAGAGCCCCACAACCCACCCAAAAAAACAAAAAAACATATGATACTTAGAAAGAGAAGAAAGAAAAAAAATACATGTCATCTCTATTTCTACCCAATTAAGAAAAAAACACTCTAAGAAAATGATGATTAATAGAATGACAGGAGAAAGGCAATACCATAGGTGTGTTGTTTTTTTATGATGAAGTTTTGAAAAATGAGTTCAAAGATAGAGCGATGACAAGGGGTGAAATAGAGAGAACCTCAACATGAAATGAACGAAAGAAAGAAGAAACGGAGATTGAGGAGATTAAATGGAAGGAGTAGAAGGAATAGGAAGCCCATTCTGATCAGAAAATCGAAGGTAGAAGCTGCGCATAAGACGAGAACGAAAAGCACCCCAACAGATCAGCAATAATCCCCGACCCCCCAAAAGAAAAAAGGGAGAAGCAAACGAGATAAAGAGAGAAGGACATACTTCACAGCGACGGCGATGAGAATGCAAGCACACAGCACTGAAGGTCCCACGGGATCATAATACCCACTGGCTTGACGCGTGCGAATCTTGTGGACTCTTTTCACAAAGATCAGGGTCGAATAGACGATCGAAAGTAACGCAAGGATCGTGAAGATCACCGAGATTCGGAAGCCGGTTCGGTCGTTGATCGGCGAGAAATTTAATAAACTTAACGAGATCCCGCTTAAGATCGTCGAGAATTCTAACCATGTCTGTCATATCGTCAAAACAAATCCAAATCAAAACCCAGTCTTTTTTTTCTTTCTTTTTTTTCTATCTGGGATCACAAGAAGTGAAGGGAATAAAATGACTTGAGATCTGGAGTGAACAAAAAATGAAAACTTACAAAGAATGTACGTTCAGTAGCAAAATAAACTTTCGGTTCGATGCGAATAGGGATAGCGATTTTCTTTCCTTTAGGGGCATTAAAGTAGCGAATCCATTCGACAGCATTACGAGAAGCGGATGAAGAGTGGGGAAGGTTAGGGTGAACAGCGGCGGATCTAGGGGCGGTAGCGCCGACGACTTTGGGGCCCTGATCGTCCTCATCATCGTCCTCATCATCATCCTCATCAGCAGGATTTCGATCAGAAGGAAGAGAACGAGAGGGGTGTGAGTCGACGGCCTGACTAGGCCCTCTAAGGTTCTTGAAGATCCGGTCGGATTGGTTCAACATCTTAGCTTTGGCCTTCAACATCTTACGCAAGTTGCCCGGCGTGAGTTTGGCGAAATAGGCCGGCTCGCTCGGCCGTTGTTCTGTCCCCGAGGGATTATCGTTTGCCTCAAGGTCCACCTCCATCGCCCCCTCGAGCTGCTCCGGCGAGCTCCCCGGCGGCGCAAGACCCTTGGCCTCCTCGACAATGTTCCCGGTCGAGCTTGGCGCCCCGTCCGGATTGGCCCCGGCCACCCGACTCGCCGTGGCCGACGTGGCTACATCGGCCGATAAGCCGGCCCATTGGCCTTCCGTCTCCGGACTCGACGCCTTCTGTAACCGATCCCCAGAGCCCTCGATCCCCTCTTCATCCTCCGATAGAGGCTCGCTGTATGGTCGGGCTTGGTCGGCATTACTCTTGCCATTCCTGTTCCCTGAGGGTCTGATTTCTGACGGGTGGCGTGAGAGCGTGGCGGGCCGGTCGATGAGTTTGAGCGGCTCATTCTTCTTGATGTCGATCTCCATCTGAGGGAGCCAGAAGGGCACCAACGAAACTCGGTTGGGCATCAGGGTGGCACAGCCATGAATGAATTTCGAGAACTTCGGCACGGCTTCTACCAATGGCCCCGAGACTAATTCTTTGACCCATTCCGGAGGCTCTTGTCCCAATTGAGTCTGTAATTTGACCTCCAGAACTCCGTACGGAAAGATGTGTTTATCGTCTTCCTCGACTGTGGGGAATGGGAAATCGATCCCAGCATCCGTCCGACGCCAATTGTTATCAGGTCGCCTGGTCTTGCCATCCCAGTTATCCTCTCTGACCATCGTCAAATCCGTATCAAATGAGATCCGGACCCGAGCATCTCCAGGTTGTTGGAACGCGGTCCGATTGTAAAACGTGCGAACACAAGGTTGAAGTTTCTTCTGCCTGACTCGTTCCTGCACTTCCTTAGCCAATCTGATCATCGAGTCTACCTCCTTGTCCGACTTCTTCCCCTTTTTTCGAATCGCCTCGAAATGCTCATCCATCGTAATCTTCCCCGCCAGATAATCATTTAGTTGTTCCTCCTTGATACTGAATCGGGCCTTCACCGACTTCTCGCCCGTCCAATCTTCTCGATGTGTTTTGCGTTCAACAAAGATCTGTTTCACTGACATATCTCCATACCATCGCATTCGGATCGCTTCTGCCCCTTCCGTCTTCTCTAATCTACCTAAGTAAAGCTCTAAGTCTTCGTTGTCGTAGTATATAGATGATATCGCTGAATCAGATGGCTCGAATGCTTTATCCGGATTGAAAACTGGAGAGACAAACCAGGGTTTTTTGATCAACGAGTTAAACTGAGCTTAGATTGATTTTCTTATACGACAGAATGTTTGAGAAGAAATGTAAAAAAGCATACCTAAGACGGGAAGGTGTTTCAAAACCAACAATTTCAAGGCAACAAAGTTATCTCTATGAACCTACGAAAAGCAAGGGAAGGTCAGTTTCTTATGAGATACATAGAAGAGAGGGGTGAGAAAAACTGACCCAATATTTAGTAGTTTGTCTCACGAAAGCGCTTTGACCGCCGCCGGCAGCACTGTCGCCGACAGGGGGCTGACCTCTGGTCCGGACGAGGTTGAACAATCGCGAGAGTTGGACGACGAGGGCTTCGTAGTTCTCCTTATAGAACGGCCGAGTTTCGAGGTGGTGTTGAATGAACTCTCGGCGTAACTCCCATCCAGTCTTTTTCTGATTACAGACAAAGAACGAAGGGTGTGAGAAAAATGGGCGATGACGGATGATGATGGGTTAAGAGTTACTAACGTCGTGTTTTTTGACGATCTTGATGAATGCGGTGTAGTTGAGATGGGAGAAGTGACCTAGTAAAAGAAAATGAATGAGAAAGAGTGAATGGATTCTGTCTTCCTGTGAGGGGATGTAGAGGCACACTGACCCAGGTCATGAACGTCGGCGATGATATGAGTGAGTTCGTATTCGAGGGTGGCATAGTGTTCCTCTGCCTCCTCGTCCAGCTCGTCGTCACTCGTGCTGCCCAAGGTGGCCTCAATCCTCTCTTCATCCGTCGGTGGCTCCTCGTTCTCGTCCTCGTTGGAGGCCGGCTTGGATCGGCGACCCGAGTTGGATTCGATTAGTTCCTTGACTTCGGCTTCATATAAACTGATCTTCTGGTGTAAATCAGAGATCTGGTAAAAAGAGTCAAGTTGTGTGGTGTGTCAGGATTATTTACTAGGAATGCATAAAAAGATTGGTTGAGAGAAAGAGAGATGATGCTGACCTTTCGTTCTTGAAAGTTGGCGACTTTTTGTAATTCTTGATCTAGTTCTCGTACGAAGACCTGTTCGTCGTTCTCGTCCCACTGTTTCTTAGCCTGTCTAGATTTGATGAACTTCTTGAGTCCAGCATAGTCGACGTAATACTTTGACCATTCTTCATGGAGTGCATCCTTGATGGTCACCCCGAACTTCATGGGGCTCGATCGAGTTGACTATGGATGGTATGTAGATGGATGGATTGAGTTCTAATTTGGTAGTTTTGTTTGGTCAAGTTGAGATCGAAGTAAGGGGGAAGGGAGAGAGGAAGATGAGAAGGTTTGCCTGTTTTGGGGGTTCGGGAAGAGTTGAGCTGAGCTCATGCGCCTGTTGACCACCCTCAAATCAGATCAACAATCATCAACACCTCACTGCTTTTTTCTGTCAGATCACTCCATCTCCCTCTTCCTACTTGCAAAGCGCAATATCTACAACATGAACAGAAAAGAATCATCAGGATTTCCTGCTACAATGAAACGTAAAATTTGTTTGTGATTCTCATGAGGACCATCTCCAATGCACCTTGACAGAACACAAATTCACCCATAAGGAATTGCTTAAAGCTTTCTGTCATCACATAAACAATGGAAGAATTTGTTTTGGCACTGCAGCAACCTCTCATGAAGAATCAAATCTACAGATCCTGAACCTTAACCTTTGGTGAAAATACACATGTTAACTCAAACATCATCATCTTGACAAATTTTGCATGTGCAGGTTGTGGTTTTGATGGATGTATTATCTCAAGACCTATAATAGGGACATCTACAGGCCTGTAAAGACCTATGGAAAGTCCTCCAAGATCACAGACATACACCCTTTTTTAGATTTTAGTAAGCCTTGGGTTTTTATTGTTGGCCATCAAGAATGTGTTCACACAACAAACTACAACCTCAAGTTGATGGGTTTTTAAGTTCTGTAGTGAGGTTTAAGACCATCTCCACTGCGGAACTAAACCAAATTTAGGCCCCCAGGTGCAATTTAGCTTCACCACTGCAGGCCCTAAAGAGGGCCCCAAACAAATAAACTTGAAGCAGGGGCCATTGGATTCCCGACAACTACGCCAGGTCCCCAATGGCCCCACAATACCCAGACAGATGAACAACTACGCTCAAACCTGTCCAGGTACTGTGCCTCTCCTGGGCTGACCCTAACCCTAACCCCCTAACCCCCTAACACGGTAAACCTAACCCTAACCCCTAACCTCCATCAGGGAATGGGGCCAGTGGAAATCAAACCCACAACCTGCTGGATGGCCAGATGTTAGGGCCAGTGGAAACCGCTGAGCTACAGAGACTTTGTCTCTTCCCCTGTTTTTGGAAAACTAGTCAGCTGGGGGACCCAGCTCTAGGCAGCTCACCCAGCTCTGGCAGCTCTTTGGTTCCAAACCAAAGATAATGGCACCATTTTCTTTGGTTTGGGACCAAAGAATTTGAGTGACACAGGTGTACCAATGACATCATTGTGTGGATTTCCTCTCTCACATATGTATAAGCTTCCTCATCTGGACCAAACTCAATTCTTTCTTCCCCAGGACTCCAGAAATATAACTCTTCACTATCCCGAAGAATCATCTACTTCTTCTTCTCTGGTTTCTTGCTGATTGTTCTCTCTACCGTACATTGAACAACCTTCATCACCTCATCTTATCACTTCATCACTTCCTCACTTGATTTGTGTTCCCTTCTCTACTCAACTCTGTTGATTCACATTCCCTTCTATTTGACACTCTGCCGATTCTCATACAGACAAAACAGCTCTCTTATCATTGTAGGTTCTTGTCTTGTTTTGTTATGTTATCAACTGAACTAATACCTTCTCTGACACTTTAATATCAGTCGCTGTCAGCAGTGTCTCTATTATCTCTTGTGTTCCTTTGTCGCTGTCTTGTCCCTTGTACCGCTGCTTCTGCCTTAAGGTACTACTTCATCTCTTTTCTTTTCTTTTTCTATTGTATTTCTTCATCATTGTACTAATTAAAAAATAAACCTTAAGTTTGACACTTCACATCCACCCACTAGCTGGACAAGAAACAGCCACCAATATGTCCTGACACACCCCAGAGCCAGGAACACTCCAAGTTATTGCACTGGGCTTTGTGCATCTTTACAAAAAGTCTTTGTTTGGCTCCTCAAGGATTAGACATCTTCTTCACAAATGGGGCCCAGTCAGCATTTGTTCTGTTGTCTAGGTAGTATCCTTGCTAGTATTTGTGGCCAATTATTTCCTATTTGCATTGTGGAGCCTGTCCATTAAATATAGGGGTTTGGGAGCCGACTCTCCAACTTTTGGGAGTCGATTAACCAAGCCCCTCAATATATTTGCAAAAAGAGGTGAGGTATTGAAGACATTTGTGTTGTTATGTGAGCCTGGCATGCCAGATCCACATTTTTTATGATGTGACCACTTCAAGAATGACCATTGGTTTTCTTTCTCCTTGGAAGTTCCCAGCCCAGCAGCTTGGGCAGTCCTTCTACTGCCAGTGCATAAATTTGAAGGATCTGAGCAAACCTAGGAAACCTTGTTTGAAAACATCAGTGATCAGCTGTTCCAATGTGGCAGTAGTTGGGTGTGAAAGATAGGGCCTTAGTTGAACAAGGGCATTAATAAAAGGGCCTTAATAAAAAAACCCGCATTTTCCGTGTTTTGACGCGCTTTTGCCGCGCCGCAGCACACGCGCATTCCGCGTTTAAACGCGCGTTTATTAATTAATTTATTTCTACCATTATTTTTGAGTTTTTTCGATTTTTTAAAAATTTTTCCTACACTTTGAAGGTTGTAGAATTTAATGGTAAAGTCCATTTACCATAAAAACGACTTTGATTTTTTTTTTCTGCTAACTCATATGTACAATTAGCTGTTACTGGCTCGTTTTTCATTATTTTTTGACATTGTAAATTTGATTCCTACACTTTGAAAGGTGGAGAATTCAATGGTAATAATTATATTGCATAAAAATGAATTGTATGCCTTGTAATTTTTTTTACCACTCATTTTTCCTATTAATTGTTACCAGCTTGTTTTTAAATCTTTTTTGACTTTGTAAAGTTGTTTCCTACACTTTGAAAGGTGTAGAATTGAATGGTAAAATTTATTTTGCTTAAAAATGAGTTCTTTGCCTTTGAATTTTGGCTCCCACTCATTTTATTGATGCAAGCACTGTGGAAAGTTCCCAGTGGTTATTCAACCTTCTGAACTTGAATTTCTCAATGCAAAAAGGACACAGAATGCTATAATATTCTAATGAGGCCAAATTTACATTTGCAAAACAGTGTGGGAATAAACAAGCGTAGTTTGGATTTTAAAAGGGACACAAGCAGGAAATCAGAGCAAGGTACGGAGGACAGTAATTCAAAAATTAATCAACATCAACAGGATCCTTTCTGAAGCGTGTAGATCTTCTGAGAGGGGGGTATGAGTTATTCAGAGTTGAAGTTTGAGTCAATTGAGAGTCCCAGCGATGATTAAAAAAAACGAGAGGTCCAGCGGCAAAAACGGAGACAGTGGCGGTCAAGAGGATCAAGACAGAAGTTGATTGATGGTTTTCTTGAAGAAATTGGTTGAGGATTGGCTGAGTTATTCAGAGTTGAAGTTTGAGGCCTAACAATGACTTAAAAAAAAACAAGAGATGGATCAGCAAATTTGAAGAGTGTGGCGGTGAAGAGCATAAAAAATGGGTGCTTTTGGTATTTTTTTTGTGAATTTTGGTTGAGGAATGGCCAAGTTATGATTTTTTGAAGTTTAGAGTGTACCTGCCAGTTGGAAATGAGCCGGAGGTGAATCGAAAAAATCCGAGTCCGTGGGGTTGAAGAGGAGAAAAAATGGGTGATTTTGGTATTTTTTTTGTTGATTTTGGTTGAGTTTTGACTGAGTTGTGGTGTGTTGAAGGTTTAGAGGGGGGGTGATGTCCTTTTTTGATTGTGGTGAGTGGTTTTCTTGTTTGGTGCCTGCAGGAAAATTTTCAAACTTCATGCAGGCACTTGTGGTACGCGCGCGCGCCCCCTGGAGGCGAAATTATGCATAAATTATGCATAATTAATAAATGCGCGTTTAAACGCGGAATGCGCGTGTGCTGCGGCGTGGCAAAAGCGCGTCAAAACGCGGAAAATGCGGGTTTTTTTATTAAGGCCCTTTTTTTCACTCATTTTTCAATTAATTGTTTGCATGCATGTTGTACTTTATTTTTTATGCTTTTTTGAGGTTTTAAAATTGTTTCCTAGGTTTTGAATCATGCAGAATTTAATGGTGCAATCCAATTTTCTTAAAACTCAACGGTTCATTTTTAATGATGCAATTACGCCCATTTTTTCACATAAATTTTTAGAGCTCAATTTTCATTCTTTTTTCACATTTTAAACTTTTTTCCTACACTTTCAGACATGTAGAAATTTATGGTAAAAATTATTTTGAATCAAAGTGAGAACTACATCTTGTATACTGCATTTGACACTGTTTTTTTATTTAATTCTTCAGTTTTTCACTCAATTGTTTGCATTAATTTTTTTACCTTATTTTTTATGATTTTTTGAAATTTGAAAGTTGTTTCCTACGTTTCAAACTGTTTAGAATTTACTGGTAACATTCAATTTCCATAAAACTTGACGGTTCATTCTGAATACTGTAATCAGCCTTAAAATTCAATTAATTTTTAAGAACTTAATTTTCATTATTTTTTGACATTTTAGATTTGTTTCCTACACTTTCAGACATGTATAGAATTATGGTAACAATGAATTTGCATCAAAGTGAAAACTATGTCTTAAATACTGCATTTGATGTGTTTCTTTAATTAATTCTTACACACTTAATTATCCTTATTTCTTGGAATATTAAGTTCATTTCCTACACTTTGAAAGGCTTCAAAATTGATGGCTTTATCCATTTTGCATTCAAATAAAATTCTTATACGGTACAAATTATGCAAGAAACGGGGTACGCTCTAGAGATCGTTCGTCGGTACCCGTTGCTAGGTACCTAGTACCGCTCGGCGGGTACCGCCCGCACCCGCCTCGCACCCGCCAGGCGGTGCCGGGTGCGGTGCCGGGTGCCGGTTTTTTGGCAAAAAAAGGGGAGGTACCCGGGTACCGCTCCGGGTACCGCCCCCAAGTGTCTTGACCGGAAGGGTTTCCTTCCGGTCGATGAGGTAGATGTACCTCATCAATCGGAGGGGTTTCCTTCCGGTTGATGAGGTACATGTGCCTCGTTGACCGGAAGGAAACCCTTCCGGTCAACCTGGCCGGGACGCTGGGGTTCCCCCCAGCCTCAAGGCCATTTTTTTTTCTTTTTTTTTTCTTACTTTTTTTTCTTTTTTCTTTTTATTTTTTTATCTCTTTTTTTCTGTTCTTTTATTTTTTGTTCTCTTTTATTTTTCCTTTTTTTT